CCTTAATTAAGGGATATTGGAGTCTCTGGGTCCATCGTCTCTGCACTTTTTGGTCCCACCCTGCAGTCGTCACCCAGGTTGCGGACTGATGGTGGAAGCCATCGGCGATGTGCCAGTCGGAACAGATCGAGAATGAGGATGAGCCTCGTGTTTATGCACTAATTACTTACTTTTGTACTCACCCATGTTTATTCATCCGGTTGCGCACTTACTTGTTGTTGTTTGCCAATATTTGTCTATGTATTCCTCCTATTTGTTGCAAAACTGCTAAAAGCTATCTTCCTTGTGGAGACAACGGAAGCCACCCCCCTTCCACCTCCGATTTCCCCCCGTCCTGCTTGAAGCCGGCGGCCTCCTGAAGGTTGGAGGTCAACTGCTGGGACTGCTTCGTCTTGATGTAGAACTGGGCGCAGCACGCTTCTTCGGGTTTTGTTTCCTCTTACTACTTAGCGCGTCTTCGGGTTTAGGCCTTTAGGCTTCGTTTTTTTGCAGGGCCGTTGGCTTCTTGTTAAGGTTTGCGAGGTGTAGGTCTCAGGGTGATGGCTTGGGGCGACTCTGCAGGCCCTGTGGATGTGGGAGTTAGGGTTCAAGGCACTCGTTTGATGTGTTGGGGGTCTGCTGTAAGCAGGAAAGAATCGAAGTTCGGGGTTCGGAACGTCCTGGCAAACAAAAAAACTGATCTCGATATCCTATACCCGACACGCGACACTAAGCCCAAGAATGCTAAACAAAGCCCGAAAAGAAACTGATGAGCACTCTTTCCCCAAGAGGCTGCGGTCTTGTCGAATCGCTCAAAGGCTGCGGTGAGGGCCTGAAATCGCTCACCGGTTTAGAAGGGCTGACCTGAATGGTTAGAACTATGCGTTTGGGGCGCCTTATACTATAGATACATTTGGGAACCTTACGGAATACTATGGCTACGCATTCAGGCCGTTATTCTGCTTTCTCGACGGCTTTATTCCCCAAACCAAACACTGTGGTACATACTGTGGGATTCTTACGTTGGGGTAAAGAATATCGGTTACCAAGCCGCCCGGTGCGCTTTGAAAAGGGTTGCCCGGGCTGCTAGTGGTCGTGGTGGCAGCGGCGCGGTGCTAGGGATGGAATTATCAGGGTTTGTAGGGGCCTGGACACTTAGAAGAAGATTTCGGTGCATATGGTTGCATGGGAACTATGAGGGTGAATGTTACTAGTCATTCCATTCCCGGTCGCACCGAGTTTTCACATTTGCGGATTTAGAGCTCCGGGTCCTAGGCCTCTGTACAAGGCCCATGCTTTACCTTGAATATTTCAGCGGCTCTTATAGAACTTAACGCAACCTACAACGCAAATCCCACTATCTAAGTGGGTCCTTTCGGGATGATTAGGCGATCCTTCGGGCTTAGGGTTCACTGGGAGTTTCCGATATAGGGGACCCTAATGTGGAACCTAATATAGTACCCTAAATAGTAGGATCCTTATTCTCAGGACCCCAAAATATGGTACCCCTATTTTCGGAAACTCCCCACTGTCTTCGGGATTTTGCTCAGGTTTCTGTGCGAGCGTCGCAGGGTTGCCTGTTTTGCTCCTCGAGGGACCTATGCAACAGAACAACCTGCCTTCTTTCTTCCATCTCTGTCCTGGAACAGAAGCAGCACCCCATGATACAAAACCCCGCAAATAGCCATACAAAAAGTTTCTGCTCAAACCCTAAACCCTATAAAAGAACGCCATGTTTCCCTCTGCCGCCTTCTTCCTCCTGGCCACCTCCTGGTCAGTGCGGGCCTCAAAGGGTGGGGGCAGGGCAGGGCTTGTGGGTTGCACAGGCTTTCCTCCTATTTCCCATAAGTACCTTTCTGCTTGACAGGGCTTTTCAGGTTTCGGATTCAAGCTTCGGGGTGCAGGCCGTAAGGATTGAAGGTTTGTCGTGCTAGGGGTTGCAAGAGGATTACGGCTGCAGGGTTGATGGATTGCAGTTTGGGAGGTAGGGTCTTTCATGGGGCTTCCGCTTAATGCTTGCACTCGAAATATGTCACCCCGCCTTGTAGACCGATTCGGAGCCCACCTCGCTGAACTGGGAGTACGGGTTGACGGGGTTGTCGTTCTGGTTGTAGACATCCGAGACGCCTGCATCTTGCTTGCTTCTAGGGTTGAGGGTTTCAGGGTTTGGGGTTTCGGGTCCAAGTTTCAACGGTTTTCTCCAGACTGCACATTTTTTAGCACTCGTGCTCGAACGAGTCAGGCGAGGGTTTGAGGGAAGTGACAGAAAATTCCCAGGCACATTAGCCTAGCTGAGGCGTTAACATCGGCGATTACCTCCCGACTGCACATACACCGATGGAGACGACGAGCTTCAATCATCTCCCGATACCTTAGCCTTAGCAGTCCTGGCAGTCAAGAAGTACTTCTTGAACATGTCTATCAAGGCCTGGGGTATATTCTAGTATGATTATGATACAACAAGGAACCCTAAGGGATAGTACTAGTCATGTTTTAGCTTCCTTTTATTCAGTCGTACACTTGTAGTACGAAGCTCAATCCCCCCAAACCCTGAACCCTAAGCCCTACGCTCATTCAAACCCTCAGACAAGCCTCAAGGCTATACTCTTATGCGCAGTCCACCGTTCTCTACAACCAAGCTTAACTTGGAACCCCCAAGATCCAAAGGCATCCGAGCCGCCGCCGCCCAAGCCGAAGAAGGACAGCTTCGGGGACTCCGCCTGAAGGACTCACTTCCGCTCCAGGACCAACGCGTATGGAATTCCCCCCTGACCGGGACCCTCCTGGACACACCTCGCCCCTCCTTGGCTGCGTAAGGTCGGAATCTTCGAACACGTTCTGTGGAAGTCCACACGCCTCGTGTGAATTCCCCCTTCGCTTTCCGCATTCCGAACAAGACCCTGTCACGACACAATCGGACACGTCTCACATAGAATTTCCCGTGCGTAGTACATTCGAGGACCTGGACGACATGCATGCGCTTGCGGCGGTGTGCAAGTGCATGCAAAACCTTGTGATCGCTTGTGATCGCTTGCGAACACGAACGGCCATTTCGGGTCAACCAACCCGCAGACCCAGACATATTTAAACGAGAACCACACCAGCACCTTCACCGCTATCGTAGTAATCAAAATCACGACCAACATCATAAGATTACAACAAGACTAGCAGCAATACCAGTAATCATCAATCATGACAAAAACAACAACCGTGAAAAAAACAACAACCGCGAGTGACTACCATCCTCTTCATCACAAACCCTTGACCTGCGCGGGGCCGGCGGCGACGCTGGCGGCCATCAGCGCGGCAGCCATGGAGGCAGCAGCCTGGCTCCAGAATCCCAAGCCCTAAACCCGAAGTCTTAAACTCGATACCCTAAATGCTGGGGATGCCCTAAATTTTAGAAACCCTAGCAGGGTTTGGTTTAGGGCTTAGGCTTAGGGCTTCCGTGTGTCTTAAGTCAATCCTTACACTAACCCGCCTGGCCCTGGATCTTCGAAGGCACGAAGGCCTCCTCGTGACGGAGGAGCTGCAGCACCTCACTAGGCCATCGCGCGCGGGTCTATGGATGAAACATTTAGGGTTTAGGGTGTAAGGTTTAGGGTTTAGGGTTCTGATGAGACATATAGACCCTGAACCTCAAAACCCTAAAGTGAAAGCTACTCTAGACCGTAAGCTTAAACTCTGAAGGGTTCATTACTTTGGTAGCTCCTTTCGGAAGAAGAACCCAGCACCTGTCTGGGGGATTTCTCTGCGGGCTGTTGGCTTGGAGATTAGAGCACGGACCAAACCCTCAACGACGGCATCTGAATCTGGCACAGGCTCGCGGGCTTGGAAGAGGTTCGTCTTACAACGCCCAAAACGAACGGAGAACGGTTCTCCCTCAAGCATGGCTCTGAACCTACGGAGGCGGTGCCCAGAGCGCCCTTTATGCGGTACCCCTTTTAAAAAGGCTGCTGGCGTCGAAGGAGCTGACACCGCGCCCACCGCGAGCAGGGCCTTGGAAAGTGCGGAAGTGCGAGCCATCGTTGCGTCACCGAGGGAACGAAGGGGCCGAGAGGAGAGGGAAGCAGATCCAGCTGAAAGGGCCGCGGAGCATCGTGGGATGCGTTCATTTTTGAGAGCTTGCCTGACGGACCATGGTGGAGCCTTTTGCAGAACTAGGGCTTCGGGTTGAAGGATTGAGGACTTCAGCCTATTGCTACGCTAGGTAAAAATCTAAAGGATGGCATTCAGAAACCCCGAACAGTGCATCATTCCCTCCAGTGTCCTCTTGCTTGGATCCGGCATGTGAAACCACTTGCGGCTCTAGAATCTAGAACTCTAGAAAAGGTCGAATGGCCTCTGACACGCTTCACCAGTCTTTCCATAACAAAGTGCTAGGTAATTATGGGCTGCAGCTTTCGGCACAAATCCTAAATTCTCGCGACCTTCACGGATTCTCTACCCTCGAAGCATGGCACTCCTGAACTTCAACGCTTCAACATCTCCACACTTGTACTCACACAGCTCCATGCAATGCAGGCAGGGTCCAGTACAAAGAAAACAGTCCAGTACCGTCGAAAAACGCAGACCGAATCAAGAAACACACGTGCGCACACAAACCAAAACGATCCTCCAAACTCTAATCCCTAGCCTGGACGTGAGAAAACTAAACTCCAGCTAAAGTATCTTGAACTAACCTTCATGTACTAAAGCCCCAAGATCCAATCCTAAACTCATCCGAACCTATGAAGGTTCAGCGGGATACCGAACCTTCGACCCGCTACATAGCCCTACATGAGCCGCTCCCCCAAGAAACTCAAGAAACCCCCAACCCTCTAGCTCTGGATCTCGACACCTTCTTAACCCTGAACCCTAAACCCCCAAAGGAAAAGCCCTGAACCCTCTGAACCCTAAACCCTATACCCTCTTAACCCGAAACTCTGAACCAAAAAAACCCTGAACCCTAAAACAGAAAAAAAAAACAAAAAAAAAAAAAAAAAAAAACAATCCAAAGCCCCGAAACACGAATCCGGGGCCTTGTGCACTGTGCCCCGGGGCAGGTAAAGGAGGTCCCCGGCCTCGGTCTCCAAAGTCAATCTCTCAGGGGGGGCCCTGGGTTCAGGGTTCAAGAACAAAGTTTCCGAAAGTTAGGGGTACCTTATTTAGGGATCCTTATAATAAGGATCCTACTATTTGGGGTGCTACCTTAGGGTTTAGGGTTCAATGATTTAGAAGGGGCCCCCACCCTGTAATAGTGGTATAATAGGGGTATAATAGGGCCCTAATGTAATCCTTGTAGTCACTATTACAGGGTGGGGGCACCTTCTAATGTTGACCATATCAATACTACCCATAATAATGATAGTGATAATGGTAATGTTCACAATGAAATTGATGATACCAATCATAACAACAATAAGGAGAATGATTATGGTGATAATGATTAGAACAAACACGAATAATTACAGTCTATTTGTGCAGGCACTATGCGGGATACCATTACGAGTCATGTAAGATTTATAGCTTCTCGGTTCGCGGTTTCGAAGCTCACACTCGCCTACGGCAAGCAACGCTTCACAACGCAGGGGTCTGGGAAGTTTGTCTGATCAAAGCTACATGTTACGTGAAGGGGTTCAGTACCCAACCCTGCACACTGGCGAACATGCTCTCCTGCAGCCTAATAAAGGGGCCTTCATGATTGGAATAGGGTTTTGGGGCGGTATTTTGCTAGGCCCCTATATTACTTATAAGGAACCCCCGATATTACCCAATTCCAGAGCGAGCAGCTTCGAGGACGAGCTCCATGAAGGGAGGGCCTGCAAGCAGAGGACTACAGTAAACCCGATGTGATGTGGAGCCATGGCAGGAACAGAGTAAGCTGCTTCAAAACCGAAGGCATAGTAGGTGATCTGACGGTCACGTGGCGCGCTGTACATCCCACTACGCAGATGCAGCCGACGGCTCAGAGGTTGGACAAGTTAGTAGGTGATCTGACTGCCATGTGGCGCGCTGTACATCCCTCCAGCTCTGTGACTGGGTGAAAATTATCTCAAAAGTAAAGAGTCCAAAGAGTCCATGATCCATACTACGCAGATCCATCCGACGGCTCAGAGGTTGGACTTGAAAAAGTCTATCATGTGCTCCATCGCTGCCTCCACATCACGCTTCACCTCCGCTTGACCGAGGTCGCCACGGCAGCACCAGCCGTGCTGCATGTCCGGGAATGTCACGGACTTTCCACCCTTCGTTGCCAGGGACTCGGCGATCGCACCGCCCTCCTTGAGGTTCTCAGGGTCGTTGCCAGCTGGCATGATGAGGACTGGCATGTTGACCTTGTCCATCATGGCCTGTTCATCTCCGCCGAATGCCCCTTCCAGTCGTGTGCTGGGATGAGGTCCGACGCCACACTTCAGGGGCACACCCATGGAGGCAGACTTGCAAAATGCCCAGACGCCCCAGCAAAAGCCAACTGCACCCACACTGCTGCAGCCCTGATCTTGCAGGTGCTTTACGCATGCCTCGATGTCGGCACCAATTTTCTTGTCAAAAGGAAACTGTGTAACCCAGCCCATGATGTCCTCCTTCCCCACCGCAGAGTCTCCGTAGAAGGGGTCTGAAAGCAGCACTCTGTACCCCTGATCGGCCAGGGTGTCTGCGATGCCCATGAGCCTACCTTGGTTGGACGACCAGCCGAAGATGTCGGGCAGTACCAAGATGGCCTTGTCTCCGGTGCCCACGCTGTATACTGGCAGCTCGCCTATCTTTGTCTCTGTGCCCTTGGGCTTGTAGTCATCGGGCTTCTGGCAAGCTGGCCAGGAATCTGGGGGGCAGCAACTTGCCATCGATCCACGAGATTGGGGCAGGAGACAGGACCAGCAACTTGCCATCGATCCAGGAGATTGAGGCAGGAGACAGGAGGCCTAAAGTCTGGCTGGAGCCAAAAATGCAAAAATGGCTACGGTGCGTTGTGCAAGATTTCGGTGTCTGCAGTCATTACAGTCAGTCAGCAATTAGGATGTTACTGGTCTTCCGTTGCTCATGTTGTCGCTTCCCCGCGAATGCCCCCAAACCTTGATTCCAAGTCATCTCTGTGGAACCGTTCCGCAAGACTGCGTGGATCGTCATCAGAAGACGAGTCATCTGATACAGGGGCCTCAACAATTTGGAGTGCATATTATCTTAAAAAATCTTCAAAACAGGAACCAGGAGCCCCGAACTAGTATTGTCTTAAAAAATCTTCAGAACAGGAATAAGAAGCCCCAAACTAGTATTGTGAATTATTTCAGCCTCTTTGTGACCCATCTCTGACAGGGGCCGGGGCCCAGCTCCTCCTCTTTGTAGTCCCAGCAGTAGCTTCCTTGCAGGCTTCCGGCGCAACAAAGCGGGGCCCTGAATAATCAGAAGGAGGGCTTTGCGGTGTATTGTGCTATAGTATGATATAATATCATATATAATATATAATATATAATATATAATATATAATATATAATATATAATATATAATATATAATATATAATATATAATATATAATATATAATATATAATATATAATATATAATATATAATATATAATATATAATATATAATATATAATATAAGTTACTATGGGGAGGGAAGAGTCTGTAGCAGGGCTGAGGTGCAGGTGAGAAAGATTGCCAGCAACTTGCCCCGCAAATGGTACCGCTGGCGACGAGCAGTGTGGGCAATACACGAGAATGTGCTATGATACGCGATAATACTATACTCGACTGTACTACACTCTAAGATACTGCAACCTGTCTGGGGTGTTGCCTCCCGAGCTCATAACGGCAATGATAAATTTGAGCTGCTCCTTGGTACTCGGGCAGTAGGGAACTCTGATGCCGCTATACGCCACATTGAACTCCAGCAAACCACCAATGGTGTCCTGCTTACCACACGCATGCTGGCTGATGGAGGCAGAGGGAAGAGGGAGAACCCAACGACCCAGAGACGGCGATGATGAGCATGTGATGGTTCCGCTGAACGAGGATTTCGATCCCCTCTACTCGGTGTGCGCCGCAAAAAAAAGCTCTTAACCTACAAAACACCAAACCTTATCTCAGAAACCGACAAATATGTACAGTAACTCCCCCTTGTGTAGGCTTTTGGGTTGAGGGTGTAGGGTTCGGAGCTTCGAGGTCGGGGCTTCGGGTTTAAGGCTTAGGGCTTCGGGTTTAGGGTTCAGGGTTTAGGTTTTTTTTAAAGTGCAATGACCCCTTTCCTACTCCGCACGCAGTGCGGGTTTAGGTTTAGGGTTTAGGGTTTAGGTTTGGGTTTAGGGTTTAGGGCTTAGAGGCTTAGGGTTTAGGGTTTTAGGGAGTCTGTGGAGGCCATGGATCCTTGGGCTTGGATAGACCGTCGACCCGTCGCAACAGCCCTATTATGCAACCCTGTCAAGCCCTACAACATGCCGTTGTCTCAACGCCGACACAATCCCCCCTTACAAAGTCGCTTCAGACCCGGTTGGAGCCTGACTAAACTATAAAAATGTTTTATCCTACAAACCCTAAACCCTAAACCAAAGCCCTCTTCTACTATTTCTGAGCCCTGAAGCCTAAAGCTTCAAACCCTTTTTTGCATCAGGACTTGTGCACTCGTCTGAATGTCTGAGCAACACGGAGGTTCAGCGCTCAGGACTGATCTTCCATGCCTTGCTCAAACATTTCCGTGGGACAATGTGGGACAACCTCGAAAACGGAAACACGACCCATAGACAGTTGTGAGTAATGCACAAACTGAAATTGGCCAAATACGCTTCAAATCCTAAGCCGAACACTACTACTACCTGCTGCTACTACTACTACTACTACTACTACTACTGCTACTACCACCCTAAACCTTAAAATCCAAAACCGGGCCAAAGGGCGAGGCAGTGGGCCCTTTGGACAGCGATGGAGGCGCCAGCGCTTGGCGCCCTCCAGCTGCAGCATGAAGACCTCTTGGGTGTTGTACACGTTTTTGTTTTAGGGTTTCGACTGTCACTCTCGCACAAGGCAGGCAATGTACAAGTTGATTTTAGGGTTTAGGTAGTGTTTGGCAGTTTAGGGTTGTCAAGGGTTCGGTTAGGGATTAAGGTTTCGGCTGTTCATCCCATTCCTCTGTCGGTCGCTCATCTTCACGTCCCCACTGTGCACATCTCTGGTCGTACGACTGTCGCCGACACTCTCTGTGGCCTCACAATCTTCCAATGCAGGACTCGGGTATGGGGTTTACGTAGGTTTTCGGAATGCTTCGGCATCTTACCCCGACCTCGCTTCATTTATAGAAGGCTCTCGCCTTACACAATCGCAATCCTAACGTGCAGACCCCCTCTTGACTCGTCCAAGGCGGCTTTAATAAACGTCGAAGAGCGTAATCCCGCGCTGTCTCAATGCTCTCTAACACTGCCGTTAAGGGTTTGGGGCCAGGTTTTGGGTGCAGGACTTAACTAACCCCTCCAAAGTCATTGGCACAAAGCACAGTTTTGGGGTTTCCCAGGGCAGAGACCATGATGACCTAATGCAAACCAACAGCCCAAAGAGATGTAGCTGACGGTTGAGGGCCGGAACTCCAAACCGGAGAAGCTGTGGAAAAAACAGAAAATGGGCATCACTCGCCTCATCCATTCCGCGCACCCCGAGATTCCCCAAGACGCTAACAGCTGGAACTTTGCAGCACTGGTGCAAACGCAGACAGAAGATGGCAAAACCACCACAGATACTCAGCTCCTGGACTAGCACAGAACTGCAAGCATGCGAAAGAAATCCTTTGGCCCCCTAACCCCTGGATCTTGGCATTTTAAGAACCATGGCTCGCTACAAGCACATGAAGCATCACAGAAATCCTGCGCTTGCGCGATGAAATTTCCCTCACGCTTCCCACCTCGACCTCATCGTGGTGTGCCTGGCTACAAGGGATCCCAGTACAAAATGCTTACGACTCATATTGCGATTACTACATATTAGTATTACCCCCTGTGTTGTTCTTCGTTCTTGCCAATGGCACCATTCTTTCTTTGCTGCTGGTGTGATGATGACGATGAATGACATCGATGGTGCTATCTTTCCTGTCGCCAGTACTACGACGACGACGAGGACTACGATGACGACGACTACTACTAATACTGCGACGACTATGAGCACTGCCACCAAAGAAACAGATTTCGGATTTCTGGGCTTGGAATGACGGGAGCGGCTGCAAAAGCTGCTACAGGCTGGCTACATTCTAAACCTGCTGAAAGCCGCTCAAATTGGACCGGTTTGTCACTTTCGACTCTGTCAGCTGGGCTTTAAGACAGAGGATTTAGCTTCTGCATCCAAAGGTTTTGAACCCTGAACCTGCATCCGTACAGGACTTAGAGCATCATTTGCCGGCCGACCAGTACCATACCGCTCCCAAAAACATTCCAAGACCAAGCCAAGCACTGAGGTGAGAGCACGATGTGCTCCGAGGTTCACAGCCGAAAACATCCCAAGTTCGTAATATGGAGGTCACAACCATGTAAACAAGTATACTCATGGTCCCTGTACAATTGCAGTATCATACATCCCGAAACCAAATAAGAAGGCTACTATTTGGGTAGTTCGTTAAATGAGGATACCTTTTCGGGCTTAATCCAGAGAACCACCCGTCGGACAGGAGCCTTGAATCCCATGCTCCCAGGCGGCGTCCGGAAGCTGTTGGCACCCCAGAGACAGCCAAAGTGAGCCTGCGGCGGTGGGAATTCCTGGACCCAACCCGGTACACTCCAAACCCAACACCCTGAACCCTCATTGAACCCCAAACTGAACCCTCGCCCTCTTCTTGTTGCAGCCAGGCCTCCTGAGGTGGAAACCCTTTTACACCTGGACTATGCATATGCCAGGAACCGAGGCGCCGACTGTGCTGTGGACTCGTGCCACACGGCTACCCCTAAACCCCAAACCCCAAATGAACCTAAACCCAGCAAAGTCAGACCCCCGAAACCCAAACCCATTTCAACCCTGAAATGCTGAACCTTTGCAACACCTAACAGGGCTCCAAGAAGGCGCCTCATATAAGATGTACGTCAACACGAGGAGGGCAAGCCTTACCACAATTACAAGCCGAAAACCCTAGATCCTGAACCCTAAGTCTTAAACCCCAAATGGGAGCACCTCAAGCCGCTTGAGGAGTTCAGCCACCGGCGTCGAAAAGCGCTGCGGGTGAACGACCTTCAGGCTTCTTCCGCAGTAGACTTCTGCGAGGGGCTGGGGCTGCATGGGGGCTTAGGGAATTAGGGCTTCGGCGCTCACACTCGGACCATCCAGGCGAGGCCTGTGATTCGGAACAAGGGTGTAGGGTTTAGGGTTAAGGGTTTAGGCTTTAGGGGTTTAGGGTTTCCGGGTTTACTCTCTCACAACTCGGATGCCAGGCGAGGTTCTCGGTGCGGGGTCGGCATGAAACTAAATGGGGTGTAGTGGCCTCTTGCCAGGGTTTAGGTTTAGGGTATCCTGCTACGGGCTCTGTATGCGGTTTCCCTGGTTCTGAAACCCCACCCAGGGACGTAAGGTTTAAAGAGTGAGACATGGGTTAATGAGTTTAGAACTTAGGGTCCAGGATTCCGGGCTTGAGCAGAGGGTCATGATCGTTGTTGTTCATTGAGGCTGAAGGACTGTTTGAAGCTTCTTGGCACACTCTGAAGGCTGTGCACTTCAACTTTATCTGCAAATGTAACCATCAAGGCTCAAACTTTGGGATACGGGCGCGGGCCCAACAATGAGACCCAAGCGAAAACAAACATGGTCGAACTTGCTGTAGAACTTGAAACTACCGTGACCTACCAAAATCTACTTCTGTGTAGGGTTCCTACCAAATTTCTCTATTAGGGTGTTAATATATTAGGATCTCTTATATAGTAGGATTCAAATTATCTCAGAAGCATCAAGAAATTCTGCGCTCTCGTTAAGGGATTTAGTTTAAGTTCCCATGATAAGGAAACCGCATTATTTACTCCAGCTCCCTGTTATGGTACCCTAAAGTAAATTCCTGAACAAGAACCCAGAATTGGTCCTCGCCGGCGCTTCTTGGCCACATATACAACAAAATCTAGGCATACACATACATATAGACTTCTTCATTTGTTAACTCAAGTATGTGTATAAACAGATATAGATACGGATATAGATATAGCTACAGCTCTAGCAGCAGATTCAGAAATAGATACAGATGTAGATGTACATGTGCTTATCTATGTCTTTGCACATATCTTCATATACATACATACATACATACATACATACATATATATATATATATATGTATGTATTTGTTTATATGTGCGTATACTATGTATTAAACAAGAGCACAAGCACCAACACATTTTACCGCGACCCGGGAAACTGTGTCCTGGTTTCGTCCCCCCCCCACCCCCGGAAGACGAAACTCCCAAGCTTTTGAAAACGAAATAGTTTGCAAGATTTTGCAAGGAGCTGAAGCTCAAATTGTGCGCGAAGACGAAATTGGAAGACGAAATTCGGCTGCGAGAAAAAACTTCGGCCCGAGTTTCGTCTTCAGGCTCGAGTTTCGTCTTCGCGGCCGAGATTTCGTCTCGTCCTCGCAGCCGGGTGCGGTCCGAACGCCAAAGCCCGTGCCTGGACGGAGCACCCGTCTGCGACCTGCTTGCACTTGGCTCAGGGTCATAAGGGTTTCCAAAAAGGGACCCTGGCTTGCACTCTCCCTCCCTTAGCTTTGTCTGGTTAGACGGGTCATAAGGGTGAGGGTTCTGGGATTCAAGCTGCATCTACAACGTTGCGCATCGACGTTGCAGCAAAACACTACAGCCTATAACAGCTCATACAGTCGACCTCCATTAGCAGCACGGCACAATGAGGTTGTCCTTCGTAGTTTCGTCGGCAACTTGAGGAGACTTCTGGTCTAGGATAGCTTCTCATGTGTGGAGTCTTGTGAGCTGGGGGCACACCCGCGCTTTCGTAGATGGAATCTTGAACTCCTCGGATGACCCCAAGGAACTGCTAGGCCCTGATCTCCAGACGGCCACAGAGGGCCGACCGCCGCATCCGAACATCCACTCCTCAACCCTCCGACGCGCAATCTTGAACAAACCTGCCAAGCCTGCGAAAGTCGAAATGCCCACCACCCCTCTGCATCCTGCCCCATCAGCTCATAACCATGCAAGAGGCTTCCTGCAAGGGTGCTGCCTTTTCAAGGGCTACCGTACGGGTTACTATAAGTATACTATAACTAGAACTATACCTATAACTATAACTACAGCTATAACCATAACTATACTATAACCATACCTATAACTATAACTATACCTATAACTATAACTATGGCTATAACTATAACTATAGCTATAACCATAACTATAACCCTAAGCTCGAATACAAAGCCCAGACCTGAAGTCGGCTCAGGCCTGCCGGGCGATCTTCTTTGGATCTGCCCGGCCCTGGCCTGAACTTGCTGTGCACGCTAGACACAAGCAGGCGCAATGCCACAATACAATGCTGATCCTGTTCATGCTTTTCTGGTAGTTGTCGCCAATATGCGGGTGATCATCACTTGTGGAATACTTGGAAGAGTCGCGACGGTGGCGATCTAATAACCGTAAAGGATAGCGACATTAAAACTCGTACCGCCAACCTCTGACAAAACGCGCTAGTGAAAGCTTAGGCAGTAAAACACACAGTATTGAACCTATGGCAGTGGCGGATTGCATTTGGTGTAAGGGAGTATTGCCATGAACCGTAGCCTGATGTTCATTAGAGGCTGACGGCCCGTCGGTACGGCACCTTTCTGTCATTGCTGTTGCTCTGGTGTTCTTGCTCTTGCTCTTGCTTCAGCTCCGGCTCTTGCTGTTGCTCTTGCACTTGCTCGTGCCGTTGCCGGTTGCAGTTGCCGCTGTGGCCGCTGCTGCTGCTGCTGCTGCTGTTCTCGATCTTGAGTTTGTTCTTGTTGTTGGTTGTGTTATTGGTCTTGCCTTCTTCTTCAAATCTTGCGCGTTGTTCTTACAAGCACCATGAATACTCTTACAACTATCATTATCTCTTAGAAGTGCTATATATTTCTTATTCTGTTTATGTTGGTGATTGCCATTACCATCGTTTTCATCATTGCTATTAATACTCTTGTTAACATATTGACGCGCTGTTCCTCTTGTTACAGCTGATATTTGCGCACGATCATCCAACCATACCTGCGGGGAGGTTTAACTTGTGTTTTCATGGGCATCGTTTTCCAGATTCCACATAGACCACGAAATCAACATGTTTCAAGTGAGTCGCCAGCAATCACAAAAACAGCAATAAACAGAACACTACTAAGATGTATGGGAACAACCAAAAAAAGCAGAAACTTAAGACAAGACGAATCCGAATAAGAAGAAGAAGAAGAAGAATAGCAATAAGAAGAACCTAACGGCGTTGCTGCGAATACTGCTGCTGCTGCTAGGTTTTAGGTCGCAGGTTGACACGGTTGGTTATGCCACGGCTAGCAAAAACTTAACCTCACACCCGACAAACCTCGAAACCTATGAACGCCCAAACTCTGCGTCCATGCCCTCTGCTGACGAGAAGCCATTCAACATAATTTGGCTGCCGTCAGGCGCACACCTGCCAGTTCTTCCAATCTACCGCCTCTCTTTTTTGTGGCGTCGCCCTGTTCGACAGAGAGTTCTGCGATAGATCGTCGTTTTTCATGATTCCAGCGGGTAGGATTTCGTACAGTATTACTTACTGTATAGGGTTTAGGTGCAGAGTAGACTGCAAGAGAATACTTAGGCTCGGAGTCCTGATTCCTCATCTAAGTGTATCCGCAACCTTTACCGCATCACGAGACCTGAAGCAACTGCACCCTTTTTTTCAGCATGGGCTTGGATTGTGTGCCAGCGAACACTCCACTGCACCCTAAACCCTAAACCCTAGGCCGTAGCCCCTAAGATGAGCCTTCGAATGCCACACTAAACCCTCAGCCAAACCTTGGACGGAAAGACGGTCCAACCAATCAAGGGGGAAAAGGAGGGACCCTTAATAGGGACCCCCACTCTATAATGGGCTATGTAATGGGTATATAATAGCCATATTAAGGGTATATACCTAGGGGTCCTTATTAAGGGTCCCTCCTTGTGGGACCAAGGAAACGACTGCGGTATGGCGATATGGTTTAGGGGCACGGGTCCTTGGGGCATTGGCTGGGGCAGAGGGTATGGGATGCATTTAGACCCTCGCTCTTGCCAACCCTGATGGGCGGACGCCAGATCTGCTTCGGGGTTTAGAGTTTAGGAATACAAGTAATTAATTGTGAAAAGCTTGCTATAGTCACTAATATCTTTACGTCCTTATTCGCTTTATTGTTTTAAAGCCAATCGCCGCAGCCAACTCAGGCTCCAAACTGACGCCAAGAGTAACATAGGGCCCCTCATCATCAGAATAAGGTTTGGGGGACCATTATACTATACATATAATAAGGAACCCCCAAAATGGTGTAGGTAGTTATTGAGGCCCCTATTATACCAAACCTTAAACTGTGAAATTCAGCTGCACTGTGCAAAGACCAGCACCTCGCTATAAGCCCGACGGCCAGGCCTTGAAAGCCAACTTCAAACAGTGATATCGGTGCCTTCATCTAACAAAACTGGTGAAAGTATGCTAGAAATATTTTGACATGTGTGTCATGATGTTGCTAATTATCGCGAGCATAAATCTTGAGCCTCGGCTCAGGGTGTCGTCTTCCAGGCACTAAACCCCAGATCACCCTAGGCAAGCCCAACTACTTGCGAAACCAAGCAGGTCCCACGCCTGCAGCTGAAGAACCTGTAAGCTCCCATAAACCCTCGACATCCCCAAGAAGCCCTCAAATCCTAAACCCTCGACTAAATAATAACCCATCGGAAACCCTGAACCCTGTATAAGCCTTATGCGGGTAGAACCTACGGAGAAACCGATCGGAAACCCTAAATCCTATGTAACCCTTATACAGGCAGAACCCTTGTAGAAACCTATCGGCAACCCTTTGTGCTCCTGGGCTTGAGGACTAGCCAGAACCCTTTTTTTAAGCACGGACTTGGAGTGTATGCCGGCAGCGAAGCTCTAGGGCAGAGCCTTCCTCAGCCCTAAACCCCAAACCCTAGACTTGGGATTTAGGGATTTAGGGAGTTTAGGGTTTAGGACCCTAGACCCTACCAAGGCCTGGCGACATTCACGTCCTGGCCGAAGACCAGGCCCTTTCGGAGCTGGGCCTCTGGGGGAACGAATCCTTTGGGGTGTCTTTGCGTGGATGAATAGAAGGACGGATGGATCGATAGGTAGCTAGGGTAGCTAGAGATATACAGGTAGCTGGGTAGATAAATAAGACAGACGGAGAGAGAGAGAGAGAGAGAGAGAGAGAGAGAGAGAGAAGAGAGAGAGAGAGAGAAAGAGAGAGAGAGAGAGATGGATAGAATAGTAGATAGACAGACAAACAAACAGACAGCCAGAAAGACAGACAGACACAAAGGCGTGTGCGCAAGGTAGATGGATAGACGGATAGATACACCCGCACACGCAAAAAGACGTACCAACAGACAGATAGACAAATAGATACACGGATGTGAATGCTGAGACATGGTACAAGAAAAAGTACCGCAAAACCCTTGTCTGGTGGTTCAGCTCCCTGTGTCAGGCTTTAAGATGTTCGCATGTTTTCCTTTAAGGGCCCTTCCTTGCTCACAGTAAAGACTTTAGAAACTTCGGTTTCAGGGCTCCGAGCTAAAGCCCAAAACCCATAAACCTGGGCTTAACACCCCAAAACCATGAGCCCCTAAACCCTTTGAGTCACGGGCTGGGGCCCCTAATTCCTAGAACCCTAAACTTCTCGATCCCAAACCCTAAACCCTAAACCCAAAAACCCCAAACCCCAAACCCCAAACCCTAAACCCCAAACCCCAAACCCTAAACCCTAAACCCTAAACCCTAAACCCTAAACCCTAAACCCCAAACCCTTAAACTCCCAAACGAAGCTTTTGTCGGGTCCAGACCTCGATCGTGGTCTGCAAAAGGAGGCCCGCGTAGCGGTCCTGTTGCTTCCGCCGCAAATGCAACGGCTGCTTCTCCTGAGAGCGCCACACGGGTCTTGTTAGTTAGGGTAGTATATTAGATTAAGAACTCATGCAGATAAAGAAAAAACTACCAGGGGATACTATCGCAATTTATTCCGATGCGTGTTGCAACTGGGCTGCCTGCAAAACGCCCTCCAGGGTTCATACACTCTCTTTCCGAAGGCTCGAATGAAGGCCATATCAAGACTAAGCGCCCCTAGCTTCGTGGGACCTTCACCCAGAAACCGCCCCACTGGCTCCAGCAGGCCCTACATGCCTCAACTGCGTAATCCCTATCTTGCGGATAGGGTTTAGGGGTTTAGGGTTTTAGGGTTTAGGGGCTGAGGGTTTCAGGCTTCAGGGCGGAGGGTTTAGGGTTGCGACTTTCAGTTGAGCGCCCCGAAGCCTTCGGCCCGAAAACGCCCAAACCCCACCCTAAGCCATCAAACCCCCACTTTCAGGACACTATGACACATAGGGTATAGGGTTTAGGGTTTAGGTGGCCTGGGGCCAGATGAGGGCCTCAAGAGGTCTTCAAATGGCCCACCGAAGCAAGAAGCAGTCATGCAATTAGCTGCTGTTGGGGTTGTGGCTGCGGCCCGGCAGGGACTGCAGGGTGTTGAAGATTTTGAAGTTCTTTGGGCTCTACAACAGCTCGCCAGCACCAATTTCGGAAGCTTGTAAACAGAAGACACCAAAACGAAAGCAGCCAGGGCTCCCAGTAGTCGGAAAAGAAGTGGCCCACATCTTCAGGGGACAGCAGCCACCTAGGCGGCGTGTTCGACAAAACTGCTCGATCCATCAGATTTAGGAGTTTCCGAAAATGGGGGACCCTGATATAGTACCTTAAATAGTAGGATCCTTATTATAAGGACCCCCGAAAAAACAAGTCACCCCCCTAATTTTCGGAAACTCCCATTCGTCGCCTGATTTGAAGCGGGCCTTGGCCTTCTAGGGCCATAGGACTGGGACAGCCATAAACTCCGTTACTTGGAGGTTCATGGGTGGTTATAAGTAGGGTTATAAGTCGGTTAACATGAGTTAGAAGTATAGTTACCCTACTTATAACCGCACTTACAACTCTTAAAACTACCCATGAAACTCCATTACGAAGAAGAAACCCCGAACAGCCACTAGAACCCTCACTTCTGGAACCTGTATAGTAACTGTAGCAGCGCCCTGATATTAAGAAGGACCCCAAACACCCAGTAGAACCCTTACTTCTGGAACCTGTATAGTAACCTTTGATAAACCCAAAAAGTAGAATAGCAGCGCCCCGACAGTAGAAGAAGGACCCCAAACACCCTGCTGAGCCCTTAAATTCGGAACCTGTACTAGAAACCGCGTATAAAAGCCGACTAGTAATAGAAGTGCCCTGATAATAGACCCGACCCCAGAATCAAAAGAGCGAAGCGGCTGGAGAGCCGCTTCAGAGCTGCCCTGCCAGGGCCTTCGGCTAGCTGAGATGCTGCGCGAGAGACTTGCTTCAGCGCTGGCTTTCGCACGTGTTGGGGGAGGTGCTTAGCCGATTGGAGGTAAACACTTCCGCTTTGGGTTCAGAGATGTGCTACGGATCGACGGTGTAGTGATGGACTACATGGCCTCGGGCTTCTGGGGGCTTTGGGCCTCCTGAACCCGGGAACCCTCAGTGCCTCTGCACATTCGCCTCGTCGCTCGCTAGACTCATGAAGAGTGGAGGGGGGAGGCGGGGTTTAGGGTTTAGGGTTTAGGGGTACGGAGATATGGCTTACATAGAATGGGCACATGGATGTTCCGGAATAGAGGTGTGCAGGTCACCGTGCAAACCATCAATTCCAAGGAAGGTTCGCATTCTCTAGATGCTGGAAAGGCCCGGCTTGCTTCATGCAGTCTTTTGTCAGAATCGTTACTTATAACGTATTCTGATTACGGTTGTCCTATTCATCATTTATTCTGAGTACTATTGTTATATTGAGAAGCTTCTGTTATATAACTACTATTCTTTGTTCTATTTTTCAGGGCAAGGATGTTGGGACTGTGGAGCTTTTGCCGCAAAGGTTTGGAGCTTCATGAAGCAAAGGCTCAGCCGCAATGGCTGCAGCCTGGAGCTGGTGAAGCCTGCAGTTAGCCAGGGTTTAGGGTTTAGGGCATAGAGTCCGAGGGAATAAAGATGATTAAGGCACCATGGTGCAGCCCAAACGGGCTGAAACTTTGGGGCCCTCGAGTGCAGGAAAGCTCGCATCTCCATGCCGGGCTGGAACCGGAAAACCGTTAGATATCGACTTGATGGATCGTGCTAGCCGTTCTTGGGTTGAACCTTGAGATGCCGCAGCGACAGCTGGCGAGACCCGCGTTTCAATCGTGGAGACTCTCACTGAAAGTAATGTGATGCCACCCGATGGCAACAACACGGCCGATGAGTGGCCAGTCCCAAAACGGCGTTCTAAAGCCCTAGCGTAGCGCAAGCGTTTCCAGGCTAGAGGGGAAAACCGCTGTGACTTAGGGATGAATGGCAAAACAGATCGCCGCTGTCTCTCTCTCCCTCGAACCCTCTGCCCCGACAATCAATGTCCAGGTGTAAAAAAAGGTTAATGGACGAGGATCACAGGATCACACATAACACACAATGTGCAAACATATGTACGACCCTTGCACTCCAAATCGCTTTCACTTGGGAGCTTCCGGAAATTAGGGGGTACCTTACCTTGGGGGGTCCTTATAATCAGGATCATACTATTTGGGGTACCATGTTAGGGTCCCCTCTTCTCGGCAACTCCTAACTCTGATGGATTGGGGCACCTTATTTGGGGGTCCTTATAATCAGGATAATACCATAGATTACCCTAAACCCTAAACCCTAACCCTAAACCCACTACTTAGGGTACCATATTAGGGTCCCCCCTTTTCGGAAGCTCCCACTTTGAAGGGACCCTTAGCCCGGCAGCTGCTCGACTTTTCTTCTGCCGAGGCTTCACCTGTACGCCGGGACATGACAAGAGAGTCGTTTCAGAAGTTTAGGAACGGCCCTTTTCCTCCTGGAAATGAGTCCGAAAGCAGTCTCCCGCTAGGAAAAAAAGGGTTTAAGGTTTAGGGTTGAGGGTTTAGGGCTTCAAGGAAATTGCGGTTGAGCAGTACCGCTCTCTGGTGCAGCGGAAATGTAGACAACCTGCTGCACGGGCCTTTCGGCCAAGCGCTTCTCTAGCAACCGGTGCACTGTAGTCGCATGGCCAGCTTGTCCCACGTTTGGGGTGCCGGCTCCCTCCCTGTACGGTAACCAACTTCGATGAGCGAGCAATGGCTACATGTTCTGTTCATTCGCAAGCCGGTGCAGAGAGTTGATAAAAACAATATCTGCAAGAGAATCATTCGGGAGCTTCCTCCAAGCTAGGTCACCTCTTCCTGCTACTTGCTCATGCAAACTGCCGGCTGCAAGGGCAAATCGAAGCTCTCTGAAAATCGATAGCGTCAGCCCGGCTCTGGATCCCTTCTTTTCAGAAACTCCCATTTCATTCGGGTTGTTCAAAGGCCAGCTGCAGTCATCCGCCCTGCGAGCAGGACCTACACAGAATCTGAAGACCCTTCAGGTCTTTCCGGAGATGTGCTTGTCGCGCCAAGAACGGACACCATTCTCTTTGCTACGTACACCTGAAAATTTTGAGACGACTGCATCAGCAATCGTCACATGACACTCAACACAGGAACAACTTATCAAGACGGGTCCCTGTTGAGCAAGAAGGCGCCCGAGATTACAACAACTCCTGGTGCCAAACACCTTGCAAAGTGGTTTGCCGTGATCTTTGGCTTGGGCCTTTGGTTGCTACTGTGGCTATGCACAAACATGTGTCGACTTGCCTTAGCACAAACATGCCACTGAGCTGCTAGCACGAACGAAAACTGCTACTTTGGAGGTTCTGCACACCTTCGTCATGACAATAAATGTCGCTGCTGTGGCTACGGTCTTATGGTTGGGCCGGCTCTGACAGGAAATGCTACTACTGTTCATACGGCTACAGCTACTGTACCACGACGACGACTTCCGCTACTGCTGTGCGTACTGTTGTTGCTGCTACCGCTGCTGCAGCAACAGATGCCACGTCCGCTCCTACTACTCGCACGTCTTCCTCCTCCTCTTAATCCTCGTACTAGTAGTTGTTCTGCTATCACAAATTGTGTTTCCAGTGGTTCACCGAAGCACATCCACATCCGACAGAGATCCGAACAACACTTGAGCGCGGGAGCAGGGAGGCTTCTGGATCAAGCCCAGAGCAAACCCACACAGCCGGCCCTTGGCAGCACAATTCTGGAAGGGTGCGCAAAGCTTCAACCAGAGCCTGAGTTGCATGTACATTTTCAAAGTGTATCAAAGCTAGCTCTAGACATGCGTGATCCCTTCGACCAGGCAAAGACGAAAATCCTGGCCAGTGTCCTCCAGAGATGCATTTCTGCAGGCAGCGTGTCGTAGATCTGAATCTTCGGGAAGGGAGGCTCTCCGGCATTGGGGTTTAGGGTTTATGGCTTAGGGGTCTCCCACTGCAGCCCGAAAGATCTGTCACGCTGCGCGCATTTCACGATCTGCCGGCAACTGGCTGTTGGCCTTCGCACCGAGCAGCATGCAGAACAAATTCGACTGCAGGAGTTCCACCGGGAGTGGCCGCAATGTCCTACACCCAGACAAACCTGCGAAGCTTCGAGCTCTATTAGAATAGGGTATGGGAGCCCATTATACTAGAGTTAGAATAATTAAGGAGCCCCCAAAACAGAAAAGGAAGCTATTTAAGCCTCTATGTGCGGGTTGTAGTTCTGACTCCCAAGTTTCGGCTCAACTCCTGTGAAAAGCATGGGATTTTCCCATTTCCCGGACAGAAATCGTCGGCGTTGCTGGGAGTTCCAGGTCGATACGCAGGATTGATTCTCAAGGCTTATACTATTTGGGTTCCCTAAAAAGGGGTTACTGTAAGGGTTACTATAAGGGATCTGTATAAGGGTAGTATAATATAGGGGCCCTTAATAGCTACTTGTCAAGCTGTAGTGAAGCCCAGAAGCGCAACACCGTACTCCAATGTCGCTCCCTCTTGCCTATACATCAACAGCATATGCATGTACACGAGCATATGGATAAACACATACATCCATACGTACGTACACACACACATATATATTCACACGTGTAGCTCTGTGTGTGCACCCGCTTCTTGGTAGTTAGTATATGTATGTTCCAGTCAGCATGTTACCTGCCATGGCTACCAAGAAACCACCGATAACAGGTCGTACGACAGTGCGCTTACATAAATCAATCTCACCTAAAACTCCCAGTGCCTGCAGCACGGTGTGTACAATCCGTGCCGCCTGAAGATGCCAGGGAAGTGGGCCCCAAGCGGCAAAATATCTTCTATCCGTGCTTTCCGACTGGAGCTCTTCACATTTCGAGTTTCATTAAGAGTTCAGGGGCAGTGTCCAAATAGTTTTCGGCCTCAAATCAGCCAAAAAAAAGCCATTATGTCGTGCGCTTAGGGCTTAGGAAGCCTGAGCTCTCCGGGGGCCTAGTACCTTAATTGGGGTTATAAGTTAGAAGCTGCCCCCACCCTGTAATAGTGACCATAAGGATTATATTAATATTATATTAGGGCCCTGTTATATTCCTATTATACCACTATTACAGGGTGGGGGCAGCTTCTAAGTTATAAGTAACTATAAGTATAGTTACTCTACTAGACTGTGGGGCAAAAAAGGGAACTTTCCGAGACAGGCCGAGTGCTCCAAGCCGCTTGGGCGGGTGTTATCGCACACCCGAGCAGGGATGCATTGAGTTTAGGGTTCAAATTTAGGGTTTATAGGGTAGGGTTTATACGGTCGATGTAAAAACATACACTACCGGGTTCAAATTTAGGGTTTATAGGGTTTAGGGCTTATAGGGTTTATAAGGTCAGGGTTAAGGCTACTCTTGGCTTCAGGGTCTTTTACCACTGCGGAGACGAGAAGCCCCAATCGGAGCCAGCATGGAAGGGAAAAACTAGAGCGAGAAGATTACAACGTCGGATTGGCCTTGGTCCACAATGCTGATAAACTACATCAACCTTAAACTACCAAACCCTACTTTTTTGTAGGTTCTTATTATAAACCCTAATAAGGAAAATCATAACTGAAGCAGGAGCAGCAGGGGAAGCTTCACTGGAGCAGTTGGTTCTGTTTTCGGAGAGCAAGGAGAAATGCCTGAACTGCAAGGATACTGGAGTTCGAAGCTCTGTTGGATGAGGCGTCTCGGAGACAGTTATTGAAGAACATCCTAAATTCTACACCCTAAACCCAACCCTGAACTCTGCCAAGATTTCAAGTCTGAAAGGCACAAAGGGCTTACATCAGCGGGAATATTCGGGCTTCAGAAGCACCTCCATGATGTGAATGGCCCCCGGCTTACCCCCCTAAACTTTGGGAAAGGTGGCGAGACGGCGTCGTAGTGGCAAAGAGGTCGTCAATTTCGCATAACTCCTCTTGGAGGTTCATGGGCAGTTATAACTGGGGTTATAAGTCCCCGAATATGGGTGATAATAATAGTTACCCTACTTATAACCCCATTTATCACTAACCCTGAACCTCCAAGCTTGTGCCACAAATGGTGCGAAGGCCCCGAGTTGATCATCCAGGTGAGAAGGAAATCGGATTCGGGCAAGAGTTTCTCCTACGATACTTGAGGGCGCGGAGGGGAGTGAATGGATCATGGGCCAGACACAAAACCTCAACCCGCCTTTACAACCTGCAGATGTGGGAGCTCCCGAAAACAGGGGGCCTAATATGCGCTACCCTTAACAGTAGGATCCTTATTATAAGGACCCCAGAATGACGTACCCCTAAGTTTCGGAAACTCCCTTCTGGATGGAGGCGCAACACAGCGAAACAAAGCTCCTCCAGCGTAGGCTGGCGCCCTCGCAGTGGTGCCTCAGCAAAAGGTTAATATAGGGCCTTAATAATTAGAATAGGGCCCATTATACTATAAGTATATTAAGAAACCGCCAAAATAATCAAAAGGTCAGAGCCCTAAAATCGACAGCTGGCTGGAAAGCCTCGTCGTCGTGTGACCAGGAGTAGCCGCACTAGTAGCACCTGTCGCCATAGCACTACTTGTAGTGGTAGTAGTCGTCGTCGTCGTTGCAGTCGTCGTCGTAGTAGTTCTAGTAGCAGCAACAGCAGTAGCAGTTGTAGCAGCAGCAGCCCCCAAGCAGTGACAGCGCTCCACGACCAAGTTCACCAAAACCACCACTGCAGCAGACCAGCCGACCAAGAGATCACCACGAAACCGCCCGGAAAACCATATATACTACCATGTACTATATACTACTATACGATATATTACTACTACTATATAGTATACTATACTTTACTACCACTACCACCGGGCCACGAGGACCACCACTTCCAAAATCGCTCCCCCCCCCATGTACTGGCGGGATTCAGAGTTCGAGACACCCAAACCACGCTGACCACAAGGCTTCCCTGCCTTGTCTGCTGGGGGTTCGAACGCTTCCAGCGCACAACGGCCACGAAATGCTCGCTGAAATGTACTGGCGGGTTTCAGAAACATGACTAAAATTAATCCCTGCAGGTACCTGCGAAAATCAAGCCAAGACGAATCACCCCTTTCCGAAAATTCAGACCGCTACGAGCTACTCTAAGTATTATACTTACTAGTACTATTCCTATGTCTATTACCACTCCCATTACTACTCCTATTACTATTGCTATTACTCGTACTATTACTATTACTTATGGCAACTGTCTCCAATGCTGCATTTAATTACTTTAAACACACACACACACTCTCTCTCTCTCTCTCTCTCTCTCTCTCTCTCTCTCTCTCTCTCTCTCTGCATTTAGTACTGTACGATGACTGCAAATATTTTCGCCAATACGAATCTCATGGTTACTCTTGTTCTGATGAGGGCTAACAGCATTCTGGCTATTATGATTACAGCACAATGGCTTTTATGCTTACTGTTAGCATTATGAAAACACTCTGGTTGACGTGATTTCTGTGACGACTATGATTGTTGTTGTTGCAACTCTTCCCATTATTGTGGTTTGAAGAGTTATAATGGCTGCTGTTTATTTCGGTCATGATTCGATGCTTACTACTTCTGGGCCGAGGACGACGACCAGGTAGGCTATTGGTATTCGTCTCACTGGTATTGTGACTACCGTTATTATTGCTGCTGTTTCTGTTGCTGTTGCCACTACTACTAATAAGAATACTACTACTACTACTACTACTACTACTACTACTACTACTACTACTACTACTACCACAACCACTACTACTACCACGACGACCACTACTGCTACTACTGCTGCTACTACTACTACTACTAGTGTTACTGCCACGGCTCTTAATACTGCTCTTATGACTACAATGACGACTTATACTGCAATTACGATTAAGCTTATTGCTGTGATCATTTATGGTTCTCAGTTCTCAGTACCAGTCCTACTGCTGTTCGTATCGAGTAATGTTGCTGGTATTCTCACAAACACAAATTATTCACTGCACCACAGCGGGACCCGCGTCCCGGCGGGCGGTACTGACACGCTATTGAATTCCCTTTATGCTGGGGGATCAAATGTAGAGCCCTTTCAACGCTGTGGCGGAAAGAAACAGTCAAAGGAACCCTGCAAACCTGTAGAAGAGCCCTATAAACCCCTGCAAATCCTTGAAATCTTGTAAAACCTCGTGCTATCAAACCCCGCCCCCTGCACCCCTACCCTCTCAAAAAAGACTGGAACAACAAAACAACTTAGATAAGAAACACCTACAAAAATCTTGAGCCTCATCCCCGAGATGGTCCGATGAACTCGAAGAGTCGCTCCTGCGACCTCCGGAGCTTCGCTTGGAGATGGGGTTTAGGGTTTAGGAATTAGGGTAAGGTTTAGGATTTAGTAAGTAGGGTTTTTTCCCCTCCTAATTAGGGTTTAGGGTTTAGGATTTAGGGGTTAGGTTTAGGTTTTGGGCTAGGGTTTGCATAATCATCCCAGGAAGGACGGGATTTTTGGCAGCACAATCACTCTGAGCTCAAAGCCAGGAAGGACGTTTAGGGTTCAGGGTTGAGGGCCTCGGGTTTTGCGTTTTTGGCTCCTAGTTATCAAGGACTTGCCCGCCTAAGTCAGTGAGGTCCTTATCCTTATTGTGACACTTATGGCTTATTTGAGGGTTTAGGGTTAGGATTTCGGGTACTTTTCTAAGGAGCTCTGTCAGAAAATACCTGAGGGTTCATAGGGCCTTTGTGAAGGTGTTTGCGGTTAAGGGTGCAGGGTGCCTCGATAAACCCATGTGGGCAGGTAATGACACCGGCAGGCCAACAGAAAGACCCCAAGTACATACAACCGACTCAGAATGAAACCTGTACTGTTGGTGCCACAAGCAACGTTCGGTGCTTAGGATCTGTGTTTGCTTTGGATCCTTGCCTCTTGTATCGCCAGGTCGAAATAACTGCGAAGGTGTGAGTTGGGGTTGGGGCAAGAACCCGTCCGGAGCTCAAGAACTTCATGAAGACCTGCATGACATGTGTGAATGCTGAAACCAAGACCTTGGAGAACATCTTGGCCCTAAGCACCTCATTGGGAAAATCCTGAACCCTGCAAATTGACAGGTTGGGACATCTGCCAGTCCGGGGAATCAGCAGCAACACCAAACCCAACAGTCTCGATTTACGGCTCCGAGAACTCCCCCATCTGTAGAAACAAGGCCAGTACACTCCCAGTGCACCTTGACTCTCGCCACTTTGCGACTTCTTGTACATGACCTGCCAGTGCCGGAGCAGAACCCGCAACAAGCGCCATCGCGGTATAGGGGACACTATAGGGGCCTTAATAGTTAGAATAGCGTTTTAAGGGCCCGTTTCTATTTTAATAACTCGAATAAGGAACCCCCAAAATCGCGTAGGTAGCGCCAAGGCCGTCGGAGTGCGAGGCCACCGTGTCTTGGGAAGGATCTACTCCTAGATGGGTAATATAGGGGCCTTGCTAAGAACCCATACTACTTGGGGGGTTCCTTATTATGGATAAGAACCTATACTATTTGGGGGTTCCTTATTATGGATAAGAACCTATACTATTTGGGGGGTTCCTTATTATGGTTATAGTATCATGCAAACACCTATTCTAATTCTTCAGGCCCCTATATTAGCAGGAAGAGCTCCCGGCACCACTGCATGTTCCCCTTCCCTGCTGATAGCACGCAACTCCCGTTGCCTTACCTTTGGTTAGTAGGGAATGGAAGAATGGTAGTAGTAGTAGTTATATGGTCGTTATATGGTCGTAATCGTCGTTATAGTTGTACCCCATTCCTCCATTCCCTACTAACCAAAGGTAAGTTGCCAGCGAAGACCCTTTTTACCCGAACCCCCACCGCGAAGCCGGAAACCCCCAACACCCTCAACCCAATAAAAGGGAGTTTCCGAAAATGGAGAACCACAAAATAGTACCCTAAATAGTAGGATCCTTATTATAAGGCCCCCAGAGTAAGGTACCCCTAATTTTCGGAAACTCCCATATATCTCCATGGGAAGTGCATGTACGCCCAGCGCTGATCCCAAGGCACAGGCCTTCGCCTGCCTCAGCAAAGAACAGGCAGCAACAAAGGGATCCCTAAGGGTTCCTTTAAAAGGATCCTTTAGAAGGATCCTTAAGGGTTCCTTTAAAAGGATCCTTTAGAAGGATCCTTAAGGGTTCCTTTAGAAGGATCCTTAAGGGTTCCTTTAAAAGGATCCTTTAGAAGGATCCTTAAGGGTTCCTTTAGAAGGATCCTTAAGGGTTCCTTTAAAAGGATCCTTTAGAAGGATCCTTAAGGGTTCCTTTAGAAGGATCCTTAAGGGTTCCTTTAAAAGGATCCTTTAGAAGGATCCTTAAGGGTTCCTTTAAAAGGATCCTTTAGAAGGATCCTTAGGGGCTCCTTTGGAGGGATCTTAAGGGATCTCTAGGGTTTAAGGGGTCCCAACATCCCTTATTGTGGCTTCCAGGGCTTTTGGAAAGTTGGGTTTGGGATCTAGGGCTTATAACGCTTAGAGAGTAGGTTGCTCGTAAGCAACCACTCCATCGATTAGGAGCGGCTCGGCTGCTGCTCTTGAGCCGCCTTGGAATTTCTGCGTCCAGCGCTCAGGGTTTCGAAGAATAACTTGCATATACCAAACAACAAATAACTCCGGACTCCGTTCAAGCTGAGCCCTAAGCTCAAAATCTCGTTCAGTTCAGTCCAACTCCTAACCTCTAAACCCAGCCCCTCGCAACCCTAAACTGGTAAGTGGCCTTATTTCTGGGCGTAGTAATGATAGAAGGTTGTTCCCAGTGTTCTAAATCATGGTTTACAGTAACAAGTAGCCGATAGGACGGTGATTTCAAGAGGTCTGAAAATCTTGGGCGCAGTGCCAAGGAGGCACATAAGCCTCTGCGCAAAAACTACGTGAATGGCCCCTACTCGGGCCCAGGAATCGAGGAAGCAGGTCCCCTCGGCTTTGCACCCGAGGCACTGCCCAGCCGTGACCATCATGTCCTCCAGAGAGAAAACAACAAATTTGTTGAGCTCCTTTTTATGTCTGCCCCTCGTCCAGGCTAGAAAACCGGATTTGGGGTTAGGGCTTTCGGACTTAGGGTTTATACCGGCGTGGTCTATTGTTGTCAGGGTCTATCAAGGCAGCCAGGCAGACCGATACATTCCGATACATGGCACAGATGGGTTGGTACATGCATACGTAAGCGCATCGACAGACATGCACGTCCATAGATAGATCGACACCAGGGTCATCTTGACTATCATCCGGAAACAACGCTGCAACAAAGAAGTGGGTGCTAAGAAAAAGGGCTCAAACAAGGCTGGCACGATCGGATCAACAAATTCATGGTAGTGTCCACAAAACATGGCAGGGTGGCGTGCAGTGGGGCAACTGGTCCCTAGACACATGCAAAGGATTGAGATGGAATGAGGGTCCTAAAGCCGACCAGAGACAGGGAGCAATTTAACAAGAGTTACACAGAGCGAGAGAGAGAGAGAGAGAGAGAGAGAGAGACAGAAAAAAAAGAGAGAGAGAGAGATAGAGAGAGAGAGAGAGGGAGGGAGAGAGGGAGAGTTGGAGAGAGGGAGAGAGGGAGAGAGGGAGAGATAGAGAGAGCGAGCGAGCGAGCGAGGGAGGGAGGAGGGAGGAGGGATAGAGAGAGAGAGAGAATGGAGGGTTGCAGAGGAGGGATAGAGAGAGAGAGAGAGAATGGAGGGTTGCACACCGTATATATACCACCCTGCATATGTATCCATACATACATACATCAAAACATACATACATACATACATACATACGTCCTCACACGACTGCACACACGCCCGCACACACGCGCACAAACACACGCGCACATACACACACACACACGCACGCAGGTAAGTACATACGTACATACATACATACGTACAGACATACAGGCTCACAGGTTGACTGACAGGTAGAACGACAACACTACAGACAAGACTACGGATAGAACTGCAAAATTTGCATACATACAGACCAACACGCATTCCCCTTACATACTTACATACCTACATACGTACATACATGCATACATACACACACACACGCACACAAACCGACAAAAAGGCATGCGTACTGACAGACTGACAGAGCGATAAATCGACAAAACGACGGACAAACAGCATACATACCCACACACACATCTACCTTCAGACCATGAATGCTTTTAGGCAGAACTCATTCATCGCACCACTCTTTTTCGGCCGATTCACATCGGTGGTGAAGTCTGCGGTAACGACTTCATTCCAAGTCTTGATTAGTAAATTTCGCATAATTTCGCATCTCTGACTAAAAGATCTGAAATTTTGGAGGACCGACCGTTTCCCGGTCGGTTTGCAGACTGAAAACAAAAGAAAATCGGAATGAGTAAAATCGGGCAAGGGTTAGGACAAGAACTGTTAAAAGTGCTTCTTTCGCCCCGACTGCCAACGGTATGTACAAGCATGTGTGGTCGACGAGTCCGATCCAACGGGGTCGATCGATTGAAGCATGAGAAGTTATGAGGTGTCCTTTCGGAACTAAGTGTGCTACAATGGAAAAATAGAAAGATAGATAGATCCACCCACCCACCCACCCACCCAGCCAGCCAGCCAGCCATCCATGCGTGCGTGCATGCATACACGCACATGCATCCATACGTGCTTACAGCGGCATGCATCGCCCACTGGGTACATATGTACATATCTGGACGAGGCAGGTCCTGAGACACGAAGAGCTGAAGCAACGTATCCATGTCCATATCTTGGAAGCCAGGGGCCTGGGTAAGCAATTTAATCAAAGTTCCTACCGTAGCCAGGGGCCTGGGTTTAGCGCTTGAGGCTTTAGGGCTTTAGGCTTTAGCATTTAGGCTTTAGCGTTTCGGGTTTAGCGCTTTAAGATGAAGCGGTATTGGGTTTTGGATTTTACGGTCTCAGGATTTGCTCCACGATCTCATGCTTGCAGGAAGCTTGGACAGCCAGGGCCGTACAGTTGATCAGGGCTTCAGCGAGCATGGAATTAAGGAAATGTCTGAAAAGTAATCACCTAAGCCGTTGCTTCCAAAGCTGTGGACGTAGAGAGAGGCCCCTTCCCTCCGAGCCTTGACCGAGGCAGGCTAAGCGCGAGATCCATGTTACCGTCGTGAGGAAACCCCGATCTCCAATAGATCCCTATGCGTTCCGTTTGAAAAAAACCCAGAAGGGTGTCCTGGACCTGAACCCGAAACTCGTCATAGGGTTTCGGGTTTAAGCTATCCTCAACCCACAACCCTTTGCTTCTATTCCCTAAACCTCCAAAGCCTCTAACAGCCGAAGGCCTTTTTCCCAAAACGCCGGGGCCACCGGAGGTTTAGTACAAAATGCTCCCCGGTTTGCTCAGCCTACCAGCTTCGGATAACAACTTCCGGCTTCACCAACTTCGATCACAGCACACAAGGAAAGTCGCTCGACGTGAAATGCCCAGGGTTTTGGGGAAGCTGCGAAGATCAGAGGCCTCTCGTTGATGCGCTCCCGCTCCTGCGGTTCGGAGTTTGGGGTGTGGAGGGTTTAGGGGTGTATGAGTTTAGGGGCTCTGTAAGTCTATAAGGGTTCTATTTTACCACCCGTCCAACTGAACAATGTCGCACCGGATAAGGGTTTACGGGTTAGTGTTTGGGTTTACGGAGGCGTTAGTATTGGGGGTTTCTGGGTTCTTGTTCAGCGGCTTAATGCCAGTGACCACTATATAGAAATCAAAATTGGTTATAGGTTCCTATAACGGTTACTTGCTTTAACATCCTGTAACAAGAACCAAGGTTTCCCCTCATGGGGTTGGGGTTCTCTAAGTTTAAAGGTTTGGGGTTCGAGGTCCTTAGGGTTGAGAGCTGGTGCTCTTAAGCTTATGACGGCTCCAAACGGGGGTGTCACACGGCTGATGATATAAATCCTGCATTACCTGAAGGACCCTTAACTATGGGAATTATGGTATATTCCTTATTACGAGTCATGCAGGATTTACATCATCAACCGTATCAAAGGGGCTTATTGTTGGCTTTGGTGAAGAAGGCGCCGTTCTTGAGGTTGGGGTTTCAGCAAAAGGGGTTCGGGTTCAGCATGTGGGGGCCCGGGTATGGCTCACGGACGAGGTACTCTCTGCGACTCTTTCGTGCTTGACTTCAGTAATGCAGGGGCCATTGTACTTACAATGTGGTCTTGGGCTGCTTCAGAAGGAATTCTAAAGATTCATGTTGGGTAATAACTGGGTTTCTGTATTGATCCATTTTGCAGTGGCAGGGCCTAGGAATGGGTGAGATCTGGCCCCACTCAGGCCCCTGACCCTCACAGTTGAGGGGTTTTAGGGGCTTAGGGCTGAAGGCAAGATAAGATGGGGTTTACTGCCATTTACTGCTTGGGGCCTAGAACCCCTGACCCAGATCTCTGAACCATTTTCCAAACGGACGCAAAGGCCCCAATCATCTAGCCTGAACCCGTAAGCCTTCGCAGCTAATTTGCCCTGAAATGGGCTTGGCTGTCCAGTCGTTCAGTTTCCTTCTTCAGTGCTAAAGGTCGAGGGAAAAGCCCTTTTCACTAAACCCAACCTACATTTCCAGCCTTTACAATCCTGGTGACACGCACGCTGGGTACCGACTGCGGAAGGCATCCCCCCAGGTCTAGGGCTCGGGTGTTGGAGTCTTAAGGTTTACAGCTCAGCGTGTTACCCTACACCCTGAATCTTACCTTTGGTTAGTAGGGAATGAAGGAATGGGTACTATTATACTATATATTACTATCATTCCTTCATTCCCTACTAACCAAAGGTAAGGTAGGCTTGATTGTCGTGTAACATCCAGTTGTTTTAGGAACTCATGATGTAGTATGGACATGCGGAACGGCTGCGACTCAAGGTTCTAGGGTACAGGGTTGTGTTCGTCGACGCACAGCAGATTGAACATGCTACACGGATCCTTGTGATGGCAGCGTAGTCTTGCTGATAGTGAACTGTAGGGTTGCAGGAGGCTCCTAGCAGTGTTTGGGTGTGTCACCAATGGCTCAAAGCTCTGGCACGGGGCACGCGAAAAATGTCTTGTCTGGGTAATTCATACGTGCAACCTGGGAACCCGCAACAAACACCTACTCTTCCAAGCCCAAAACATTAACCCTCTCGGCTTTGGCTCTGGCCTTAAACTACCCTAACCCCACAGCTCTAATTTTTAAGGCCCCTATAGTATAGTAGCCTTATAGATCCCTTGTAGTAACCCCACAGTTCAAAGACGCTTTTTCGCCAACGGAAGCATGAACCTGAGCACTGGGGCCTGCTTGACAGCCGCAGCGTAGAAGGCGAGGTTCCTGATGGCTTTGGGCATCGGTTCTTAAAGGGATTTGGGATTTAGGGTTCCGGCGCTCACACTCGGAGAATCCAGGCGAGGCATATGGTTCGGAGTCTAACGAAGCTAAAGGAAGTAGTCAAGATTTTTTCCCTCTCGCATGGCTTGGAAGCAATGTCCGCTCAAGATTTAGGATTTAGGGTTTTGGATTTAGGGCCTAGGGGTTTTTGTGATTCCTACTTCGCAAGCACGAGCCTGCAACGCAGGGTGTTTGAGTCGGGGTGCGGACAATGCAGGCGAGGTTGGTTCGGGGGGTTTCACATAATAGTTAATGGTTAAAGTGTGGTTTTGGAGCATACTATGGCTATAATAAGGAACCGCCAGAATAGTACAGGCAATTATTAAGACCCCTATGCTAGGGTCTAGGGTTTCGGCGCTCACTCTCGGGTTTAGGTCCAGTCAATCTTGCATCGCGTCCGTGTCTTGTTATGAAAGCGTATCGTCGCCTCCTGCCCTACACGGTGCTGCAGGGTGTTGCCGAATTGCATTGTTTCAGCACTCACACTCGGACAAACCTTGGCGAGGATTCCGGTCCCTTGAACAGCACTTTGGCGGACCCTGTGCACATTAGCCTTTAACGTGTAGAGTTTAGAGTACACGGACTTTCCAGGCAGCCCGGAATGGCAACACAAGTGGTGAACAGCCCCTGGCACTACATGCAGCTTTGCCCATGTGCGTAAAGCCCAATGGCTGTGATTGGCGATAAAGATTGCACTGTCTGTTCAATATCATCACGCTCGTCATCATCATGACCATCACCATCATCATCATCCCCGCTGCCGTCGTCACAGCCGCGGTCGTCTACTCTTTCAAACGCGAGCATCTGCATGGGATATGAGGACCGCCTGGCTGGTCCTCAAAACCCCGGTGCCGTCGTCGAAGTGCAGGTGTTGAGGGGCTTCAGAAAGGGCCTTAATAATTACTGTACCCGTACTATTTTGGTTGTTCCTGTTCTTTATTATAGTATAATGGGCCCCGAAACCCTATTCCAATTGTTAAGGCCCCTACATTAAGGTGCCGGGGTCGAGATCGAGTTCAGCCACGCTGCTCTGCGAAGCCCTGCACACGAGAGCGACCGATGCTCTTGATGCCGGGGAGAAAGCCTCTCTCCTTCAGGGGAGGATGGAGTTTCCGAAAATAGGGGACCCTTTTATACTACCCGAAGTCCCTAAGTAGTAGGATCCCTGTTATTGGGAGCCCGAAATAAGGTACCCCTGATTTTCGGAAACTCCCAGGCTTGGAGCTCAAAGGCTCCGGGGCCCGTCATACTCGAATAGGAGGTTTCAGACTCCAGTCCTGGAGATCGCGCACATATTCGCAGCACGTCCTGACGGATTTGTTCCCTCCTACCTAGCAAGGACGAAGCCCGCATGGATGGATTAGGGTTTAGGGCCTTTACGCTCTCGCAACTCGGACACGGGGTTTAGGGTTTAGGGCGTGCTAATGTACATCTGCCAGCTGGACTGTTGGGCATGTGCATCCAACTCTCAGACTGAGGTGTGCAAGACAAAAGAGCACGCCCCAAAGAGTCAACAACATCCACGATGCCCTGCACTCGGATTCCTGACGAATCCAAGGGCCACAGGGGCTGAGACAAGGGCGCCAAGTGTCATGAGTGCCGTCCATGCCACTTCGAAACCCCATACTAGTGAAGTTGGTGATGATTGTACGTCTTACAGTACACTTGCCGAGATTTCAGGGAAGAGCGGTTCCTGCAGGAGGTGGCATCGACGAAGTTCACGATGGCCAGCCCTGCATGCGAGGCTCCGCCGCCAGGCATGTGGACAAAGTCGTACCTCCCCAGGTGGACGGTTGCAAAGCCCTGAACCCACACTCCTGAAGAGGTGCTGAATAGCCGTCGTGGCACAAAGTATGGTTTCGGGCTGAACACGTCAAAACTTGCAGCCTGCTAGGCTTCGCATCGCCTGGCTTGTATCTATTCTACCGTTAGGAGACAACACCAACAGCGCATAAGGGTAATAAACCCCATCAGAAGATTGCCACTTCGGTAGTGCTCAGGTTCACCGGAGTAAACAGAACTTCAGGACGAGCAAGCAAAAGGCTATAGCAGAGGCGTGAGGAAGGGATGCAGAGGGGCTTGCAAGCTCCGCTCTGTCAGCTTCAAAAGTCTGTAGTTTGGGGGTTCGAGCAGCAGGTCCACGGTCGAGCTTGTGGAGCTTAGAGTCTCGAAAAACGGGAGGCTGACACCCCCAAAGGCTATCGGAAAGCTGGCATAGACTGCATGAAACCCCGGGGAACCCAAACGGATAACCCAGCTCTGCAGAGAGGGGCCCAGAAGGTCGTACTCCACCATAAGTATCATGGAGTGACATTCCATGATCATGTTACCGAGCAGCAGAAATGGCACTGGCAAACCAAAAAATCATGACAGGGACGGCGAGAACCATGTCTGACAGTGACGACAGCATTGATAACAAGTACAAAAGTGCTGAGAACACGAAGGAATTCACCAGACGCTAACGGCTGCAGAATTAATGAAGACAACTTTTCGAGAGGGCCTGAAGGGCTGCGCCTCATGCGGCATGCATTGCCGGGCGCTGCAGGACCCTCTGGATGCAACAGCAGAAAAAAGGAGAAAACGCTAGTAACAGCAGCAAGAAAATCACAATGACTACTGAAAGCAAAGAAGTAACGACGAAAAAAGTTGCCTGACCCTTAAAGAAACCTGGTAGAAACCTTATTGAAACCCGTTAGAACCCTCGCTATTGAAACCCTTTTCGAACTTTGATAGAAGAAACCTCTGTTGAACCCTTACAGTAGAACCCGAAGCCCTTTCATGGAGCCCGCCTCTCTTCGTCCTTAGAACCCTTGTAGAAACCATTATAACCCTCCTAGAAGGCCTTTTAAGGACCCTAAACCCAAAAACCCTCAAGCCCTACGCCCTAAACCCTACACCCTAATTCCCAAAAACCCTAAAGCCCTAAAACACCCTAAACCCCTAAACCCTAAAGCCCCCTAAAGCCCTAAAAGCCCCAAAGCCCTTGCAGAAGTCCAGGCACCCTGTGGATCCCTTCCTTCTAGAACCCTTATGAATCTCTTATAGAACCCCTGTAGATCCCCTTAAAGGAACCCAAAACCCTAAACACCCCCCCGCCTTCTAGGTTCCGACTTCCCTGTCGCGGCATCCAAGAGCTCTAAGATCGCCTCGATGCTGTACCGCTTGGCGATGCCCCGCCTGGGACGGGACCCCAAAACGGCGCAGGAGGGTTTCAGGGTTTTTTGTGCTTTTCAGGCTCCTTTTTCAGGATTTTAAGGTTTTCGGCGCTCACACTCGATTTTTGGGATTTAGATTTAGGGTGTAGGGTGACGCAGACTGCCAGGGCTGCCAGCGATGTACGTAGGTTTTTTTTTTGCCTCCTGCGGGCTTAGGGTTTAGGTTTTGGGGCTGGGATTCAGGGTTAGGTTTAGGAGTTTAGGGTGGATCGCTCTTTCTATGGAGGGCAGCAGATTGCGGCGAGGAACTCGTGCAGATGTTGGTTACGTTTTTCGGCGATTCGGATCGAGAGCTCAAATGCGGGTGGCTCCATGCAGGGCATACATCTAATTTGTTGATGATGCTGAGGTTTACCGTGCTTGCTTCAACGGCAAGGATATCAGGGACACAATAGCTCACCAAGAACCTAACCTGGCATGGCCCGCGGCGCTGTGTATCTTGTAGCCCCGCCGGCCCTGAAGAACAAGAGCATCGCGAAGCCTGGCTTGGACTCTTGGGCCTGTCTGAGAATCCGAGCCCCAAAGGCTTTCCCTGTTTACAGCGTCCTTCAGGTACCTAAACCCTAAACCCTCGATCCTCAACCCTCAACCCTGAACCCTCAACCCTAAACCCTAAACCCTAAACCCTAAAAACCCTAAACCCTAAACCCTAGCCGCCAGGGCACAAGGCCAGTGTCGTGGTGTTGTCGTCAAACTCTTGGGACGCCATTTTTCAAAGGTCCGTGACCAGATTATAGGGGCTTTTAAGGGCACAGCCTCGCTGGAAGAAGTTGCGGCTTAAGGGCTGGATGGTTCAGAGGTTTAGGGACTTGAGGATATCAGCCGAGATTCGAAATCTACGGGGCTACTAACAAGGGCTCGCCCTTGATAGAAAGGCCCCGTAGCCCCACAGTTACACCCGACCCCAGAGCCAAAATGGCTGAGTCCAGGGCACACCACGGAATCTGTGTCACTCCAAACATTCTTCCAAACCAGCACCAGAAACCCTCAAAGCTCAAACACAAAAGACCTATAAGCTGAATAAGCCTACAACCCAATATATCCATCTGTAGATGCCCCCCAACTGCCTCCTGCCTATGCAAACCCGGGCCGGCCGGTACACGATAGAAGCCTACGTGGTTGGGCCAGGGTTGAGGGTTTCCGTCTTTCGGACTTCATCCCTTTTCAGCCTGCACCAGCAGAGGAAAAATGCAGACTACATCTCCAAGAGAAATTCGGCGTGCTGCTGGTCGAAAGGATCGTGCGCTGAGGAATCCCGGCATTGACCCTTGACGCCCAGGCTTTTTCTTCAGGGCTTTAAGGTTTCAGCACTCACAACTGGTTTAAAGATTTAGGGCTTTGGGGGAGGCGGGGGCGGTCATGGCCCCGAAACTCGGAGCGCTGCGGAGCTTTTTTGCGTGGGCTGCGTCCACAGAGGCACAGCTGCCCAACTTAGACATCCCTTGCATTCGGTTTAGGGCTTAGGGTTTAGGGAAATATTGGATGCCAACCGCAGATGGAGTTCTTCAGGGTTCCCCGAAGGAGTGACGACAAGTCATCCTAAGCCAAACCTGGCCGAGAAGGGATGCCTAGTTGAACACCCAGCTACATGCTGGGCACCAGGAGCACGAAGCGCTTAGGGCTTGCCTAGGAACCTCGACCCGCTTCCTTTGCAGAAGTTTGCTCAAGGCTTTTTTTTATATTACAAACAGACAGAAATAGAATTAGAAATATATGGTTCTTATCTATCTATACGTATGTATCTATGTACGTACGTACGTGGGTATGTATGTATGTATGTATATATGTATTTATATATGTATGTATGTATGTATGCACACAAAAACGAGTATATGTAAACATGTGTGTGTCTCTGTGTGTGTGTATGTATATACATACATGCATACACTTGCACACCTGCACACATGCATACATACATACATACATACGTATAAGTGTATATATGGTTACACAGATATAGGTGTATGCATGTATGTAAGTATGTGTGTATGTGTGAGTATGTATGTATGTGTATGTACATATATGTGTGTGTACATGTACATGTGGACGTACTTGTATATGCAAATGCAACTGTGGATGTAGATGTGCCTGTATGTGTATCTGTATATACGTGTGTCCGTGAATGTCTGTAAATGTAGACATGTATATGAATACATATATGTATATATTTCTATATATAAATACATACATATGTGTGTAGACACATAATCTGCGCATACATAACCATATATGCACAATCCGGGTCTTCTGTCGGCCCCACAGACAGGAGAGTGTCAGGGTTCCGAGGGTGCGGGCTCCGTGAACCCCAGAGGAGGGCCGGCTTATGCAGCTCAACCTCAAAAGATCCGAGGACTCTGTGGCATTGGGTCTATGAGGTTGTATTGCTGAGGGCTGTTAGGGTTTATTCGGTCTAGGGCCTAGGGTTTTTTGACACGGTCTGAGATTTGCGGGGAGGTTTGAAGCTTAACCCATCGGCGGCTTCTAGTTTTCAATAAGGAGATGCAACTCTTTGACAAACAGAGACACCCGTCTGGACATCTGCATGTAGATGGGGCGAGATGGTTCGTCTCTTTGGCAATCCATGCTCCGGGTCCGTCTCACTCTTAAACTGGGAATGATGTCAGGGCCGCTGATGATTCGGGTGGCGGCTGCCACGCATCATACGCAGCAGCGGGAATCATGTAGAGGAGCTGGAAGACGCAAGCGTCTTGGTTGCGGCGTGGGTCCAAAGTCCAGGGTTTAGGATTTAGGAGCTTGGGGTTTTCTGGTGTCCGAAGCAGCTCTGCAAAGCCTCACGAAAGCTCCAAACCCATCCCAGCTTGCCAGGATGCTCATCACCAGTGCGACCGCCCAAATCAGCTGTGGGAACTTCTGCCCCCAGAAGATGGGCTTCAACGAGGCCAGGAACACCTAGGACACTAAGGGTTCAAGGCTCAAACGCCCTTCTCCCTGTGACCTCAGGGTAAGGATTTATCTCTCGCAACTAGGCATGTCCGGGCCGGGCGAGATGGGTAGATCGGCAGAGGGACTACACTGAGCGGGTGGACAACAACCAAGGCAGTACCAGCCCCCGCGGCGCCTAGCATCTGCTGTTAAGCTGACAAGCTAGCTTCAAATTTTTTCCAGCACGAAAGCTACGCATCTGGTATGCTGACTTTCAAAGACAGGCAGAGGGCCTTTGGCCGTCAGCCGACGTCTGTGACTTCGAACATACCACTGGGTGCCGGCTTGGGGGATACACTTTTCGGGTTGCGTTCAGTCTAAGCGGCAGGGGTCACGCGAGGATTGCGACGTCTGGTCTGAAATCATCGAACATGGTGCGTGAAGCATGAAGCCCGGCACCCAGTTCACACGGGGTTCTACGTGAACGAGCGATGTTGGTGCCTGTCGGAACAAGCCCATCGGAAAAGTCCCTAAGCATGAACGCACGAACCCGTCATCAGCCCGCAAACCTTAAGCCCACGTGCTCTTGGAGGGTCGTCTGTGACTCAGGTGCACGTACCGCAGGATCGGCCACAGATCAAACTCACCGAAGAATCCAAGAAGTGCAGCAAGGGACACCAGCCCGCAGCCTGGACGTCTGCGCAACTACCCAGGCCGAACACGGCGGGTAGGGGACCATCGGGACAAACTGCACTGGCATTTGCGGTCCCGTTGCAGATTCCGCAGGTGCCAGCGCAGTATTTCGCTGCTTCCTCGGGGATGCCACAGATGCCCAACTGCTTTGCCTCGACACAGCTGGCCATGTTCGCGTTGGCTGGGAAGTTCGCCACATCACCACAGGGCTTGCAACTGCGTGGGCAGTAGTCGGGGGTATCCTCCGCCCAACAGCCGCAGGAGAGCGGGCAGATGTAAGCCAAGGATGCCGAAAGCTGACTTCCCTCGCACCAGGGAGTCCTAGTGATGGGCTCCTGTTGCACAGACATGAGGCCAGCGCACCCTGCAGTCTTCATGAACTTTACGATGCCATGCACGTACTCAGCACCTGTCACTGGGTTGTTTGGGTCTGAAAAATTGACTCCCAGATGTTCTTGCATGACATCCGGGTAGCTGTCCCAGAAGGACAACCAATCCTCTCCCACAGGGCTGTCACGGCACTGGATGTCTTGGGAGCGCGTAGCGGCCTCCTCCCGGCAAATATTTGGGCAGCCTTGCGCCGGGACCTTGAACCATTGGTTGGCTTGCGGCAGGTGGCAACCGCAGGTGCGAGGGCAGACCGAGCGCAGGACACGGGAGTCGAAGTCACCGCACCTATCCGCCAGCTCTGCGCAGGAAGTGGCGTTGTCTCGTCCGATCATCGCCGCGGCGGCGTGGAACCGTGGCATGTGCCTCTCTGTGAAGACAGGGCCATAACGACGAAGCCAGTTATCCGCATCCAAACAATTCGAAGTCCCCTCGGATACAGACGCTTGGGACATCACCATGTCTTGTGCAAACGAGTCCGCATCATCCGAGAAATAGATCAGATTCCAGTCATACGGCCCCACGAACGTAGACTCCGCCGTGGGCACCGTGTGCCCCAAGACGGCCCTTTCACTGAGAGATAGCCCATTTTCGTATCGGACCGCAAAGGAAGGAGTCGCCACGCCGACTGTCGTCTGCGAGTCCTGGTTGTAAGCAACGACGAAGTTCTGTGCGCCGTAGCAGAACTCGACCTTGACCTGCTGCATCATATTATAGTATAATATTATCATACATGCATTACAGTATACTATATTAAACTAAAGTATACTATATTATACTGTATTATACTATATTATACTATATTATACTATACTATACTATATTATACTATAATGTAGTATGTTATACTATATTATACTATATTAAAGTATATTATACTATATTATACTTTTGTATACTATACTCTTCTACACGACCTGCTGCATCATGTCCACCAGAGGAATCACCCAAACGAAGATGGGAGTGAGAGTCACCGCGACGACTCCAATGAAGATCAAGGACCCCTCAAGTTGACTCTTCGCCCGCGTGTATCGGACCTTCACAGCCTCCAAACTGTAGATAGCAGCCTGGGTTCTTGCTAAGGAATCTAGTTTAGGTCACCATAATAAACAATAGGGTTTCCCTGTTATGGTACTTTAACTTAGATTAAATCCCTAACCAGAACCCCCTTTTTATGGCAACTTAAATTAGATCCCTTAGCAAAACCCAGCAGCCTGGATCTTCTTCGGCAGCAGCGAAGCGAAGACCAACTCGTCGATCTCGAGGATGGTACCCAGTGCCGAGGCATTCAAGATAAGGTCCTGGGTTCTGGTTACGGGATTTTAATTCAAGTCGCTAGAATAGGGATCTATGGTGAATCATATGGTTTCCTTATTATCGTAACTTAAATTAAACTCTTAACAAGAACCCAAGGTCCGTGATGCTCTTGGTTTTTGCCAGCCACTGCTGCCCAGCCCAAAGGAGGCACGCGGTGATCGAGGTGCGATACAGGCGTAGCAGCAGGTAGACCCCCAGTCGGGCGTAGGATATTGCGACGAAGCGCCCGTTGCTGAAAACAGTCTTGCGTGCCCGTGGAATCTGCAGGATGGCTTCAATGGAAATCCAAATGGTGCGGAATTCTCTGCAAAGGTACATGCACCAGAGCAACATGCAAAGGCCGCTGAGGATCATCCCTGGTGCCAAGCCCAACAATGCGAAGTCCTGGGACTGCAAGCCTAGGAATGAGTTGATGTCGGCGAGGAGGTTCGCCTGCTCGTTGGATTGGATCAAGGAGCCATCTCCTGGGTTCTTTTTAAGGGATTTAACTTAAGGTACAATAATGGGGATCTGTGGTAATGAAATGATATGGTTCTTGTTAGGGGATTTCATTCGAGGTGCAATTTATTGAGGTCTGTAATAATGAAATGGTATGGTTTCCTGAGTAAGGGTGCCATAGTTTACATAGCAGGGATCTATAGTAAATAATACGGTTTCCTTATTATGGTAACTTAAATAAAGGTAACTTAAATAAGACTCTTTGACAAGAGCCCAGTCTCCGTTGCAGACGCGGGAGGCCAAACTGGTCCCCGAGAGATCTCTGTACTTCGCGTCGTGGGCGATGCTTGCCCTCCATGTTCTCGCCGCAGCGATCTCGGCATCGAAGCTCCCGCCGAGGAAGTCTTCGCTGACGAGGACAAAAACAAAGAGGAACTGTAACATGATACTCCCAACTGCAAGGAGCATCGTCAGACAAAGGTCAATCCACCCGGCGCCCGTGGATCCCAGGACCAGAACGACGTTCCAAACAGTTTCCGCAAAGGGGATGGGCTCCTCGTCCTGGTCTTCCTCCTCCATCTCGCCGATATGTGGCTCAAACACAGGTGTCCTGGGTGCGATGTCGCCCTTCTGGCTCTTGGCGTCCACGACGGTGCTTGGGACGACAGCATGCATCACACTCCCCGGGAGGACCAACTCCTCCGCGACGTCAATTCGATCGGCCTGTGGGCATGCTGCAGTTTCGATCCTCATCTTCTCTTCGACCATCTGAAGGCGCAGGTACAGCGAGGAAAGCTGGCCGCGCATCTCCTCTCGCATGCGCCGCTCCAGCGCCGCCATCTTCTTCTCCAGCTTTCCCGCCGACATGCTCGCAGGACTCAAGGCTTTCCAGTTTTAGCAACAGGGCTTAGGATGATGGGCTTGCACCTAACTCTGCCGTCTTTTTATCGCGACAAGGTTGAACCTCTGCGATGTTGGTTTCTCGAGCTATGGCGCCGATGTCCGGCTTGCTCCGAAAAAGTTTCGACGAGCTCTGCGAACTTCAGGTCTGCGCAACGGCATGTGCTGGTCTGGGCCTGTCGCTTTGCGCAGAATAGCAATAATAGCCATTATCACAAAAATGACAATGGTTACGTTCAGAATTACAACAACAATCATACTAGTAAAAGAAATCTAGTCGAAAAATGCGCTAGAGGGTCTCCTAAGCTCGAAGTTCTACAGAGAAGCTTCACAGAGTTCCGGTTTCAGTCGGGCTCGGGTCCCGTGAAGCACGGAACATGTCTCAGAAAATCCTGCCAGACAAGCCCGACCTGGACCCTGAAGAACCTTCCTTTTTAGGGTTCCCTAATATGATTTCCTCACATAAGTCCTCAAAAAGGTAGGTTTTTCAGGGTTAAGGGAAACCCTGAGACCTCAGAAGTCCAGAAGCCCAAGCCCCTTCGCCAGAGCCCGAACCTCTCGAGTCCCTGAGTTTACGCCCGAAACGAGCCCTTTGCAGTGCTCCCCGACCGACCCCAAACCCCCACGAACTCAGTTGCTGAGCTCCCTGGCCCAAGCAAGGTTAACCTCTCAAGGCAATGCACTGTCAAAGGCCACCTATGAAACTCAAGCCCCAGAACCACAAGGCATGAGAATGTGCGAAAGCCTTACATACCGTAGCATGGCCTTGGGGCTCCACGCCTCAACCCTGAACCCCAAGCAGCAATCCGTCAACTCCAGACCACCCCAATCCCCAACCCCTGAGCTCCATGCAAACCCTCAAAATCAGTCCTCAGAGCTACTCATCTTCAAAACTCCCCAAAAGGGGTTTATAAGGGGTTTAGGGCTTTAAGCCCTAAACGAACGAACGCGGTCTCCTCAGAGAACACCCCAACACCATGGCTCGCTGAGGCGCGGCGGTAAAGAAGGGCGGCCCGACCAGAGCCATGAGCTCACTCGCTGACTCAAAGAGACCTCCGACGTTCCATAGTAGGGCTACCTTACTTCGGTGTCCTTAGAATAAGGATCCTACTATTCAGGGTACCATATTAGGTCCCGTATCGCTGACTCAAAGCGACCTCCGAGGGTTCTCCCGAAAGAAAACGGTACTTGTTGTTCTGTTTTGTTTTTGCGCTTTTGCTAGAGTTTTTCGAGTTTGAGCTGGTTTAGGGGTTTGGGGCTCGGGTATTTGGGAGTTTCAGACCGAAGGTTCTGGGGTTCGGTTCGGGTTTCGAGTCTCGACTCTCACAGATTCGCGAAACCGGACCAAGCATATGCAAACGGCCTTTTGCTTGTGAACAGGATGCTCCAAAACCAAATTGACTGTCAAAAACTACGGCAAGGATTCACGCCCCTTCCTCAGCCAACTGTCCTAAGCAAAGGGCGTTGGGCTTTGCTGGTGTGCTTCTCGATTTGTCAGCGGCGGTCATTCAAATCTCCTCTGCACCAAGTCGTTTTATCCGACGTTCCATCAGGAATTCGAGCGACACGGAGGACATGCCATGGCCTGAGTAGTGTAGAGCTTCTGCTCCTCTGCCTCTTGGGTCTACTATAGGGGCCTTAATTATACTGTAGGTATGTTAACGAACCCCCACAATAGTATAGGAAATTATTAAGACTTATTAAGACCCTTGTATTAATCGTCGCTTCAGGTATCAAGCGTCGTCAGACTTTACACTTCTCATGCCACCTGCTGTCTGGATCATATTATGCTGACAACCGGGGCTCATTACCGATCGTCAACTCTCGGAGCGATCGCAACAAGAAAGCGGACCTAAACCTTACACTGCCCTTTTGCATCCAGGCCTATTGCGACTGCCGGGTACCCTGAAGAAAGGCCACGAAACCTTCAAAGGTGGCACATCCGGCCTACGACGGCACCAGCAGGCATTCCGGACGTTTGCGCCACATTGACCTGCAAGTTCGTAAGGCATGGGGTTTTCTTGCTTCCGCACGGCAGTCCCGAAGGCTTACATGGCTAATATTCCAGCAGTCTTTTGAGGTTTGACCAGGTCTACTTCAAACAACTATGAGCTTCTGGTGGAGTCCCTCCTCCGTCCCTCGAAGGCAAACCGTGTGTCCATCATCATCACCAGCAGCTCCACAGCTCCACCGTCAATTCAACACCATCGTCACCGCCTCTGCATAAGCAATTGACACCGGCCTAAACTCCAAAGCAAGCCTGAAACTCGCAAAACCGACTAATGATCAAATCTTTAAACATTCTCCAACCAAGGCACCTCAACCCGTTTTGCTACTGGACTCACGTCTAGCCAGTTTACGATCTGCAATCATCCCGACCGAGGCCGACACGCAGCACCGATACCCAAGCCGCTCTGCGAGGTGACATAAGAACCCTGAACCCTAAACCCCAGCCTTCAGCACGTTGACGAAAGTCCCCAAAAGGCTCGTTAGGCCAGTCAGGGCCGTCGCCACGTAAAGAGGGCCCAGGGATCGCGCGACCAAGTTCCTGAAGGGTCGAGGGTTTTTTGGTTTTGGGATTGAGGGTTTAAAGTTGAGGGTTATGGTTCAGCACCTCAAGATCGAGCATTGACTAGCAAGCTCACTGCTTCGACATTGCAAACCATCCCACCCACCCAAGAGACCCACAACTTCAACCGCCACTTTTCTACTGCAAGAATGCATCACAACCATCGACATGCTAGTTCAAGCGACCCATCATCAGTTTTGATCATAGGCCTTGCAGATGCAGCCACCTCCTAGCAGAACTACAAGTCCCGAGAACTGCACAAACCGCAGGAAACAATTTCAGTCTCTTGGTGAACACCACGGCAGCAGAGCAGCCCAACATGGCCTGCCATGGGCAAAACTAAGAAACAATCCTAAACCCTATACCCCAAACCCTAAGCCCTATGCCCTAAACCCCAAACCCTAAACCCTAACCTAGGAGCCAAGATGCAGGAAGACGCTCACCATGCCGGCGGACATCGAGATCAGCACTTGCCTCACTTCTCCGCAGTCCGACAGAAGAAAGCTTCAACTCCCGGCGAAATACTTAGGGCCAAAGGTGTAGGGCTTAGGGCTTAGGGTTATACTAGGGCCAAAGGGTATAGGGCTTAGGGGCATCTCTCTCTTCACTTCACTTCGTGGGGGATGAGTCCGCGCGCGGACCCGGGCAAAGGCCCCCGCCTTCCCCCCGTAACATCCCCCTCTCTCTCTCTCTCTCTCTCTCTCTCTCTCTCTCTGTCTCTCTCTCTTCTTCTGCAGGGCATGAGGGGCTTCCAAACCCCCCGGGCACATGGCCGCGCCATTTGTTATCTCTCTCTCTCTCTCTCTCTCTCTATCTGCGGTTGCATCAGAGGAACTAGCAGGCTTAGGGTTTAGGGCCAACGGCGTAGGGCCTCCTTTACAGCTTTAATTGGGGTTTAATATACAGGGTCCTTTAGGGTGTTTTGGACATGCCATCTCACGGGGCGTCTCAAGAGTTCGAGCCCCTTGAGTACCAAGCCTCTTGGTGCTCAGCCTTGTCTTCATCAGTTTGAGGAGGACCAGGTTACCTCAGTTGCGGGCGTGTGGGAGGGGGGGGGCATGTGGGATCGCGCATGTGGTGACCCTATGAGAGGTGCAAGCCCTGGCTTTGCACAAAGTCATCACTGAGGGACAGCAGGCGGCACAGGGGGAGCGGACGGGAGTTGGAAAAAAAGGCCCTTCCTTAAGTCAGCCCGTAAACCCTTTTTGCAACTGGGCTTGGACCTGAACCGAAAACCCTAGATAAACCCTGAAACCTTTTTCTTCTGAACCGTGAACCCTACATAAACCCTGAAACCCTGTTCTTCCTGCCAGAGAGCAGAAGAGGCCACTGGCCACCCCAATCAAGGTGAAAGTGGCCCGGAGCCTCGCCGCTCGACTCTCTCTCGTCTTCTTTAGGGTGGTTTAGGCGGTTTGCTTTGCCAGGGGTTTGGGGGGGTTAGGGATTAGGGTTTTTTGCATTTAGGGGTTTAAGGTTTTTTTTTAGGGTTTAGGGACCCCTACCCTATAATGGGCTATATAATGAGTATATAATAGCTTTTTATTAAGGGTATATACCTAGGGGCCCTTATTAAGGGTCTCTCCCTTTCCCGTTGGAAGCAGTCAAAACAACAGCCTAGCATAACCAGGCAGATTAGTTGCCACTCAGCAATGCAGCAAATTACTTTTGACAAGGTCATCGGACCAAAAGCTCAAGGATTTTTCGAGGGAGCTGTTCTCCAGTGAAGATTTTCTCCAAGACGCCCTGGAAACGGAGAAGAAATCTGCACTTACGAACCCTTCCCTGCAAAACCCTGCACCCTGAACCCCACATCTATAGCCCCCCCAGATCCTACTCAACAACTTAAGCCGTAAACCTTCGGGCACGGGACGTGCCTCGAGGTCATCCCAAAGACGTTCTTGTTGTATTGGCCCTCGGAACGACACAATCACCAGTTTGGAACATCGTCCGAGATCTGTGGCATTCGTTTCCACTACTGTAAGGGCCCTATGGGTCAGAATAGGCCTTCGGGATATATGTCACATTATGTCATACTAGAGGTATCATGCGGAACCCCAAACCCTTTTTGCCCCAAACCCTTTTGCTTCAGGCCTTGCCTCAAACCCTAAACCCTAAGCCTAAAGAAGAGGATGGGTGATGCGCAGGCCTCCACATTCTCAAGGCCCTACAAAGACAAAAAAAAAGGCACCACCGAAACTTCTCGGAGCTCTCCTAGAACCGATGCGCGACAAAAACTGCAGCAACCTGGCATGCTCCATATGTTCCGCAGAAGCTGCGTGCTTGGGGTGAGCAGTGAGCTAGATCCCAGCAAACGGCCCCACCAGGAAGCAGAGCGTCGCTGACATCTGCAGTGCCTCGCGTCACCGCGCTGCTTACGAGCACGAGGATCAGCACCTGCGATGTGAATTGTAGGGGCCTTCACCGTTGGAAGAGGGTTCCCGTTAAAGGGTTCCTTAGAGAGTTCTATAAGGAATCTATAGTAGGGTTCTATTATGTAGAGGCCTTAAAGATTAGTATAAGGTTTGGGGGCCCATGATAAATTTAGAATCTCTTTCTGATTCAAGCTGAGGGTCTTCAGAAGTATCTGAAGCTTTCATGGGGCCTGACAGTTTTTGATGCCCCTGAGTTCAAGGCTGCGGTTCAATGCCAATACGGCCGCTCTCTTGCAATGACGACACTGGGGCCTTTTAAATCCTGAAGCCGCGATCGACGCACAATGCTTCAGAGCCACCTTCAACACGGGAAAGCAACCTGCGCATAGCAATCGCCGATGCACAAAGCTCTAGGCCCGAAGTTCCTGCAAAGATCACCGGTTGCTGATCGAATTCCTGGAAACAGGATAGGCTCAAAAAGCCTTCGAAACGTCCTGCGGAGTAAGCCTTCGCCCAAGGAGCCAACAGCAAAAACCCTCGCCAAACACCTCCTGTTACTCAAGCATGCGGTCTTACGTATAATTGCTCACCCGTTTGTATTCACCCCGCCCAAGCTTCCTCTTCAAGAACCCTGCCCACACAACAACTGCAAAATCCCGGGCGCTGTCCGCGATGTAGGGTCCTCAGCTGACCCCATTTGCAGCAGGGGCTGTTTAAACCCTAAATCCTTTTACCTTCCCTTGCCCCGCCCGGTAACCGTGAGCTTTGGAGGGAGATCAGAATGGGCGATAATGCCCATGCCTTGCCGAATGAGAGGTATCCCACCCGGTTCCTCATAGGTTCCACAGGCGTCTCTCCGCGCAAATTGCTAGGTTTTGCACACAAGTTTCCAGCTTCTCACAGACAGGATTCGAGAAAGTCTTGTAGCGGCTGTTGCGAACCTAACAAGGAAACCTGCACGTACAACAACGGCCACATCCAAAAACGAACCAATTCCGGGGCAGCGTCTTGGATGAGTCTTTTGCAGCACTCCCAGTAGGACATGTCGGAAGTGCTCTCTGGCGCCACACCTGCCAGAAAGGTTGCGAGAAGTGCTTGAGGTCTTGAGTTGCCGCGTAAGGCTTTGGACTCTAAGGAAATTACAAATTGAAATTTACCTAAACATGAAAAATTACAAGGAAGGAGAGGAATCATACAGGGTTGAAAGGGTTTGTGGCGTTGGGTTTCTTCCCAGCAGGTTTAGAGAGATGATGATACAGTGTTGGGAGCTACGGTTGATGATATAAATCCTGCATTACCTTAAGGACCCTAAACTATGGGAATTTTGGTATATTCCTTATAATGGGTCATGCAGGATTTATATCATCAACCGTATCTCTTAGATTTCTCATCTTCGGGTGCTTTCGCTGGGCTCAGATCTCCTCGGCATGCCGCTTAAACTTTCCAGTTTGGGCTTGAACTCGGACTGAAAGGTCTGGGGCTTGGGGTCGCAGAATTTTACGTTTAAAGCTGAAGAGCTGTGGGGCTCTGGGCTTTAGGGGTTTAGGGTTTCGGGGTTACGCTCTCGCAACTCGGACACAGCCAGACGAGGTTCTTGGTGCGCATGGTCAGACTAACAGGGCTGCTCGACTCCACTCTGAAAGACAGCGATTAACAAAAGGTTAAGCCATCAAGTACATCGAGCCGAGCACAGCCCATCAAGGAAGGCTCGCATTGGAACACCACAGGAGCAGGAGTCTAGCTCACAGAACACCGGAACAGAAGGTAAGGCCACGCATGACAGGGTTTCGGGGTTAGGGTTTAGAGTTCAGGCTCTGTGCAGCTGTAGTGGTTCGGGCTTCAGCTCTGGATGCGCGAAGGAGGAGGGAGCTTGCGCTGCTTGCAAGGCTACCACCACGTGCTATTAAACCCTGCACGCTACCAGAGGCTTCGAACCTTTCAAACCCACATAGCAAAGACTCAGGGCTCTCCAAGGCTCAGATGTGTGCTCAGGGTTGATGGCGTCGGGTTCAGGGTTGAGGATTAAGTTGAAAAAGGGTTTATGGTTTACCTAAACCCGATCAAGCCCCCAACAAAAAACCTGCAAAACTCGCACGGAACTGCCACAAAGTCAGCCCCGTATCATTCAATACCTCTCCCCTGCCCCCCAGCCATACACTCTAAACAATGCTTTCCCTTACCCTTAAACCTGATGCGACCTACCCTAGTCCCTAAACCCGGCCTCCAGCACGCAAGCTGAAGCCCTTGGACCTTAGATTCGGAGGGGTGTTCCGAGTTCCTGGCTGTGCTCGTTTTGCTTAGGGAGTGGACCGCTTAGGGCTTCGAACCCAAAGGTTTCAAGAGGATGGTTGAGGGCTTGCGTCTTATTGCAGAGTTGGACGGGGCGGAGCTTCCCTGGCCTTCCAGACTGTGAGCCGTTTCATGTGAAGACAGGGCTCAGGCCATGCTAGACTCTTCGCGATTTTGCTGCGTGAAGGCTTCAGGGTCGGGTTCGCGCTTTTTCTGTCCTTCCTTTGACTAAGGTAGAGACTCCCGTATTCTACACATCCCTAAACTGTAACATCGCTGCAGAGACTCATGTAAAGCGTCGGACGGACACTTGGAGAACCTACAGCCTTCCCCAGATTCGCAAGTCCCGAGCCATCCCCCGAAGCCCTAAACCCTTAAGCCGTTTTCGTGCAACACAATGTATGGTGATATGATGGTATGCTAAACCCCGACTATGTAGCTCCTCAAAAAAACGGCCTCCTGCTGGCTGAAGCCTAGACATTAAACAATAGACCTTTTTTTGCTACTGGGCTGGAGGACTAGCCAGTGATGATAGAGGTCGAGCGGATCTGGCTAGTCCACAAGCCCAGTAGCAAAAACACCAGACGCTAAACCCTAAACCCTATAAATCCCTGTAACTGTGGCCCCCGGCTCGGGCAGGAGGAAGATGGCGACCAGCACCGCAATCAGCTTGAAAAAAACCATGAAGTCCAGGAGCTAAGAATTGGAGCGAAAATGGGAGGACAACCGCACAAACCCAAAAACCCGAGTAGTACTAGTAAATTAAAATACATAAATGACACCAGTAACAATAATCATGACTAGGATCATGGTAATCACAATAATACAAAAAAGGACCCCAAAACTTAGGTACCCTTGTATCAAGAACCTCCTATCTGAACTCCTGCTCGTAGTGCGGTTGATGGGGCGTACACTGGTTTCGATGCGCCGAAGATCCCTCAACCCGAAACCCGGCATCTCTGTAATATAGGGGCCTTAATAATTAGAATAAGGTCTTGGGGCCCATAATACTATAATTACAATCCCCAAAATAGTATGGGTAATTACTAAGGCCCCTATAGTATGTCTAGAAAAAGCTCATCTGCAGCGGGGACTCTCAGCAAAAAACGATGCAAGCACCAAAGCGTTGTCCTTTGAGGGAAACACACAGAGGGCCTTATGAGGATAAAGGGCATCCCTTGAAGAAGTCGCCTTAACTGAAGCCATCCATCGGCTCTTCTTCAGGAGACTTCCAAAAAGGACAAGCCTGAATTTTCAGCAAGATACTGTAAGGGCCTTAGTAATTAGATTAGGGCTTTGGCGCCCATTATACTCTAATAAGGAACCCCCAATATAGTATAGGTGTAAGGATTGAGGGCCCACAGTATAGTACCCTTATAGATCCCTTATAGTAACCCTCATATAGACCCCTTTAAAGGAACCCTATTAAAGAGGGCCCCTAAAATATTTCCCCCCATCCAAAGAAATCCCTGACGGGCGGCAGCCGCAGGGTCGGTGACCACTTCTCCAACCGTGGGCGCGACGGCGCTCTGGAAGAGGGTTTAGGGGTTTAGGGTTTAGGGGTTTAGGGGTTTAGGGTTCAGTGCAGAGGTGATTTCTCTTTCAAGACTTCTTTTTTGACGTCCCCTTTTCCGTTCGCCGAGGTCCAGAAAGCGGCTTTCAGGGTGTAAGGCTCGAGGCTTACGGCCTAGGGTTCGGCTTTGGGCGTAAGGTTTGGAATCTGTGTACGGGTGAAGCTTGGGTTTGCGACGGGTTGTGGGACCGAGAGGAGCGTCATCCCTGCTTGGGACAGCGCGGCATTAGGTCTCGGTTTTGCAAGGTTTCGATTTGTTTTGGTGGTGGAGGCTGCAAATGTTCGCAGGTTGCTCATTTTGCTGAGCCTCAGCTCACGCAGCTCAAGGTTAGTTTGGTGTTGGCATCAAGACCTCGGGACAGCCACCACGGACCATCACGAACCGGTAAACCCTTGCTTGCCGAGTCTGCCTGCAGGATGGTGGCCGCTGCTATAATGCCAAAGAACGTGGTCCGGTCTCCCTCGTCGGTCATGTCCATGGCCCAGATATTGAAGAGAACCTGCCCAAGCGTCTCAAGCTCACGCTGTTTGCCACGATGATCGGTGTCCCATCACTTTCTTGCAGGACGGCGACCCTGCTTCTAGAGCTCCTACACCGCATAAACCGCCCGAACCCCCCAAACACTGATAACTCCCAGCAAGCTCGTACTCTAGATCTCCGAAGCCCAAGCCCAAAGTCTACTGTAGGAGCCCTAAAGATTAGTTTGGCGCCCATTATACCATAATTATAATAAGCAACCCCCAATGTAGTATAGGTAATTATTGAAGCCCCTTTGTTACAGTCTTTTTGCAAGCCAAAAGTCTCCGGTCGGAACGAAGGACTGCAGCAGAGATCCTGCATAGAAGAAGTAGAAGGGCCACCTGGCGAGGGGACTTCGTCAGGATATGGGAGTTTCCGAAAATAGGGGACCCTCATATAGTACCCTAAATAGTAGGCTCCTTATTTTAAGGCCCCCAGAATAAGGTACCCCGAATTTTCGGAAGCTCCCATATGATGCGCATAACTCGGCGAAAATGGCCACGAGCGCGAGTAGGGTTCCTGGTCTTCCGAACGGCAACTCCCCACATCTCTTTACAGAACCCTTGTAGAACTCTGAAAGCATCCCTGAAGAAGAGACCTTGTGGTACATTGATAGTACCCTTATAGAACTGTCATGGCACCTTTTTTGAACCCCTACTAATATAATCCTTACAGAATTTTGATCACACCCTAACAGGGCCTTTGGCCCAATATACTATAATAACAATCAGAAACCCTCCAAACCCTAGTCAAATTATTGAAGCCCGTATAGAACCTTCCTGCTTCCACCTGGAAGCTGCCCTGACCCTGAATCTGAACCAATGCAAATGAGGATAACACGCTCTCGAAGAAAACACCCATTGGCGAAAAAACGTCTCGTTTGCTAGGGCTGTGGAAGAAAAGGATGAAAGACTCCTACCCGCACCGGTCAGTAACCTGCAACTTTTGCAGTCGTCACTCGACCCCCACTTCAGCGATTCGCTTCTGGGTGTTTTGGGCATGCGGCACAGGGTGAACTCTTTTTTGCCACACACCCAGGCTAACGGAGGTCTACGGCTGTCCAGCCAAAAGGCCTTTCTGGGAAGTACCGGCTCTGTAAGCAAAGCAAGGTTGGTGTTTCGAATTCCCTAAGTCTCTAAGTATCCAGGAAGCCTCGGCGAGCTGAAACCTGCAACCCGAGAGCCCTTCCTTTTTTACCGCGCCTAAGGTAGTAGACAAAGAGGACCGAGAGTGAAGAAATCTTGCTGGCGAGGACCTGGAGCTGGGTTCTTGCTTGAAAGACCTGAAGTTTTGAGCCACCATAGCAAGGAAGAGCGGATAGCTTCCTATGCACCCTCATATGGCTCCAAGTTTACTTAGATCCCATAACAAGAACTCACTTCTCGGACAACCAGGGAGTTAGACTTTTTCCTTAGACGAAGTCGTCGTTATGCAATGGTTACACTGCTGGAAGCAGTCGTCGGAGTCCAAATCATAAAAACCCCCAGAGTATGATAGCCGTAGCCGGAGCAGGAGTCGGAGCGGGAGCGGGAGCAGGAGCGCAGCAGCAGCAGCAGCAGTACTGCTACAGCCCTGTGTTCCCGTTTCGCTTTTTCCTGCGCACCGAGATGCATCCCGGCTCTGCTCAGAGCAGCCGCGTCTGGCACAAAGCCATAGGAGAACCCTACGGAATAATACAACCGACTATTCAGGCCTTTGGAAGCCGTAAGACTAAAACCCTTAGAGCCCAAAGTCCCTAAAACCTTTGAAACCCTAAGAGCCCGAAAAAATCCCTCAGAATCCGCTTCTACGCTGTCAGGTTCCCGCTGTTCCCTCGTTCCGCACTCCGGCGCTTGGCCGCTTCGCGTAGGCCGAAGCGCTCGCAGGCCTCGCGCCCCAAACCCACGCAGCACCAAACCACACCGTGCAACATGGACCTGCAGGGTGAGGGTTTAGGGTTTAGGGTTTGGGGTTTAGGGTTTAGGGTTTAGGGTTTAGGGTACCGTGCAACATGGACCTTAAGGGTGAGGGTGAGGTCGTGGAGGTAGCGGGTGGGAGCTTGTAGCTTTCCCGAAGCCCTGAACCTATGGGGCTCAGGGCTTGGTGCTCCAGGCTTAGCTCGGAGGTTTCAACGTGTTTGCTCGAAAGGTCTTTGGCGTCTTTTGGGGAAAGTCCTGGGGCTTTGAAATGTCTTCAGGGCGCCTAATTCACTAGCTGTGCGGCTTCTTCAACAAGCCAGACATTAAACCCTGACCCTATAGGCCCGAATCGTGTCAAACGAACTTCGTCGAAACCTCCGAAACTCGCAGCCCTAAGTGCCAAGAACCCCTAAACCCTAGACCCTAAAGCCCTAAATGTAACCCGAAGCCCGAGAAGCTTGAAGCCCTTCTCGAACTGCAGAACCCCAAGCTATCACAAGCCCTGAGACCTCAAGGTCCAAGATGGTGAGTTTTCGAAGATAGGTTACCTTAGAAGCTGCCCCCACCCTGTAATAGTGGTATAATAGGAATATAATAGGGCCCTAATATAATCCTTATAGTCACTATTACAGGGTGGGGGCAGCTTCTAAAGGTTACCCCAATATTAGAAGCCCATTACAGGTGGGTAGTTCCTCTTCCATTGTACTCCCATAAGACCCCTTTACCTTATAGGAGTGGTATGGGAGGCTTATGGGAAACTACCCACCTAATAACTACCCACCTGTAAATGGCTTAGAAATATAGTACCCTAAATGGTAGGATCCTTCTTTTGAGGACCCCAAGATGAGTGCTGTACCCTGGGGACCCCCTACAATCTAGGGGGCCTTAATAATTAGAATCGGGTCTTAATTATAACCCCAAAACAGTCTAGGTAATTAAAAAACGGCCCCTACATTTTCCAGAAACCCTCCCCCCTTTTTATGTTTTTGAGGCCACTAAACCCTAACCCTTCAACCCCTATACCCTAAACATCCCTATACCCTACACTTCCCCTAAACCCTAAACCCTAAACCCCAAACCCTACACTTTAGGGCACCAGACGACGAAGCTTCGCGCCTGGTAGGAAGGCCGCGGAAGAGCCCGAGGATCCCGTGCTTCTGGCAGATGGACCGGAAGGTGCCTCTGAGGCTCTTAAAAAGCTCTAGGGGTGTAGGGGTGTAGGGGTTAGGGGTTTGGAGGTTCAAGGTTTAGGGTTTAGGGGTTTGGGGGTTTAGGGGTTTAGGGTTTAGGGTTTTAGCGGTTTGGGGGTTTGGGGTTTAGGAGGGCTTAGGGGTTTTGGGGTTTAGGGTTTTGGCTTAAAAGTTAAGGGGTTTGTAGGGTGCCTGAGGCTTTTACGGCAGGCTTAGAGGTGGAGCGGTTTGGAGCGGTTTGTTGGGGTTTCAGCGTTCACAGCTGTGACAAGACTGAAGGGATTCAAGAGTTTAGGGTTCAAGGTTCAGCGGTGTAGAGTTTCGGCGCTCACCCTCGAACACTGCAGGCGAGGCATGTGGTTCGAGGTCTGATGAGTGAAACTACACTGAAGGGAGGATTCGATCACTCGATCACAACACAGGCTCGTAGGCATCACTGAAGCCACAACTCTATGGTTCCCCCTCTTGAGTCCCCATATGCTTCTGCTACCTAGTATGGGGCCTCAAGCACTGAGAACGGCAGATCACATGAAGCAGTTCGGTTAAAGATACAGGCCAACTAGAATAGACTGTGAGGCCGGCAAGGGGCATGAGGTATAGGGTCAGATCTGTTGTGAGAACCGCCAAGATTTTTCGGATGAGCTTTGGCACCGGTGTGTGAAACTTCGGAGTGATTGACATGACACGACTATTCCCAGAAAACTAGACAATAAACTAAGCCTCTTCGACATGGTGTTCAGGGGTTTAGGGTGCAGGGTTTCGGGCTTCAAGGGTTCGGGGGAGCTTTATGCTCGCAACTGGGACATGGGCTTTAGGAGTTAGGGTTCTTCACCGCAAGATGCCTAGGCTGGAAGCTCCAACAAGTCTGGCGAGCGCTTGTTCATACTAGTTTTCCAGGGGCAAGGATCTTGCCAGGGTTGTTGCACCGGCCTTGGAAGGAGTGCACTACAGGGTTGTAGCGGCTTTGCAAGTGGCTTTGCGGCATTGCAGCATGACACCCCCAGCTATGGGTTATTTGCGCCCTGCTTTGTGTCTGCCGCGGAGCCTAGGGTGGAGTGCTGCGCCACCTCGCCGGTGGAGGCCTGGTATGCCTCGGACCGGTTTCGAGCTTGAGCCTTGTGCCATCCGAGCCACCAATCCACAGAAGATACTAGCATAGCACCTCATCAGGAGAAAATGCTACTGTGACACAACAGCCGTAACTACACCACGACAGTTTGCACTGCAACAACACAAAATCGACCTTGGACACAAGGCATTCATGGGTAGTTATAAGTGGGGTTATAGTTACCAGTCCCTAATATGGGTTAATGGCTTATAACTATGGTTATCCTACTTATAACTCCGCGTATAACTACCCATGAACCTCCGAGGAGAATGTCCAAGTTCAGCTTCAAAGCCCAAAGGCCTAACAACTCTGAACTCTTGACTGAGACCCAAAGGCTCTACCAAAACACCAAATTTAGGAACATACGTTGATTTATAGGGGGATCATGGAGGGTTCATATTATAATGTGAAGCACATTCCCTGTCTTCGAGTCGCTGGGGACCCCTGAATCCCTGTGACTGCTACTGATGGCAAGCAAGAGGTACACGAGAAACCTGCACATCTTAATGCGCTAAGAAACCATGCAAACCCTTATGAAGCCCCGTGCAAGCCCTGCAAAACCTGCAAAATCCCATTAAAGGTCTCATGCACCAAAGCCGTAACATAGTTCGGTGCTAAAGTCCTGAAATCCTAATCTCACCCGGCCCTCACGGCCTCTCCCATCATCAGCCCCTTGACCCGGTCAAAAGGATAGTTCACCTCGGCTGAAGCGTTTAGCGTTTTGGGGGCTTAGGGCTTGTACAGAGTGTTATAGAAAACCTTTTTGGGACTATGGGACTTTATAAGGGTTCCAAAGGGTTTTGGTTTATAAGTATATTTACAGGGTTTGAAGGCTGAGGCGTGGAACTTCCCTGCAACGTCACGACTCGTCGGCTTATTCCAAATGGCGAGCTTGGGTTTCCAAAGCTTCGTTCATGGCAGGGTCTAGAGGTTTTGGGTTTAGGGCAACATTGAAAACTGAGAGCGATAGCTGCCGCATGCTGGCCAGCAGCTGGATGTTCGCGGTTTGCACTATGGCTTGGGCTGGGGTAATATGGCATATGGAGTCGGGATCCGAAAAACCAGAAGTTGCGAGTTCAAGGCACCGTGGCCGCGATGAGGCCGGCGAACATGAAGCCCACGGTGCTGACAAAGAACCGCGTGCCAGAGGAGCAGGCGACTCCGTCCTGGGAGACCCACCTGGGAATTCCGAAAAAGGAAACAAGGGTTGGCCATGGTCACAAGAAGCCCTAAATCGATACTAAGAATGGTAACAATATGTAATCATATTCATTATATTAGGTATATTCAAAATTGAAAAAAATATCCAAAAAACTCAACCCCACACCCGAAAACCCAACGGACCCAACCTATCCCGCGACCCTGTTCACCTGCAGGAATCCTGGTGCTCACTGCCATGGTCGGCACAGACCAGAAGAGAGAATAGGGAAGGGAAGACGAGTCAAGGAGGGCATTGGGGAAATGATGCTAGAAAGCTGCCGTAAATGATGCTGAAGAGTTGACACAAGCAGTTGGAAGCACGCGCAATAAGCTAGACCCCACATAGTACAAGATCCCTGTCAAAAAGGACGGAGAAGTCTCTCAAACCCTGAGGCCCTTTTTAACGGACTTGGACCCTGAGGCCCTGAACCTCAAACCCTTTACCCCAACCACCCCCAACCCACCCACCCTCGCCCCCAATTGCGAGTTTCACAAGGGGACCCTTATGTAGCACCCTAAATAGTGTAGGATCCGTATTATAAGGACCCCAAAATAAGGCACCCCTTATTTTTTGAAAACTCCCAATTCTCTCCAAGCACTCCCTGAGCCGGCTGTTGTAGAAGAACAGCTGACCATCGAAGAGGGAGGTGCGGATCACCAAGGGAGTCGCTGCGTAGAACTTAAGCCTCAAAGGAGCCTCATAGGCTCCCTGCAGAACGGATGAGTAGATCCTGGTTCAATGCTTTAGGGCCTTTGGGGGTCTAGGGCCCTTTGGGGGTCTTAGGGTGTGGGGATCTTGAGGGGTTTGGGGGTCTCGGTTGTTCGCCTTAGGGTTTAGGGTTGCGGAGCATGGGCCAGGAAAAAACGCCTGCGGCTTTGAGAAGTTTGGCTCACAGGTGTCTTAAGCTTTTGGGTGAGGTTTCAGGAGAGGCCCCGTCCTGGTTTTGATCTTCTTCTCCTTCAACCAGGATTCTTGCAGGGCCATGATGGTTTTGATCTGTTCCAGTGGTGTCGCAACGAAGCCGCACAATGACCCGATGCTGGCACCTGCCAGCGCTGGTCGCCAGTAGTCCGGCACATTGTTCAAGGCCCAAAAGTTGTCGAAGAACCGGTAGCCGCCGAACATCAGAGCCCCCATGATGAAGGAGTTCGCCCCCACACCGGGGTAGCCTCGAAAGATCCGCAGCTTGTAGTCCTCTGGCAAGGAGGGAAGGCTCCGGGTTTCACCGAACCCAAACTTCGAAGCCCAGCGGCTCTGAGTTTCGAAAAGCTTGGGGGACATCGAGCGAGTCTCAGTGCCTGTCCTTCACACAAGACCCGCCTCTGTCAAGGCTTGGGGCTTGATAGCTAAACTCAGCTTGACGTGAAGCCTTTGAATCCGCGGCGGTCCGGTCTGCAGGCAGTGCGGGCTTGCGGGTTCGGAGGCTTCCCGAAGCGTTTGCATTGCAATGCAAGCTACTGCGGCACCAGCATCCACGGCTTTCCAAAGCTTTCGCGATCCATTTGGCAGGAAGCCGTCGACTCCCATGGGTTTAGGGTGTCAGTCACAACCTGACAAGTCCGATAAGCCTTCGCGAGAAAGACTAAATATCAGCAGGATGGCTCGCGCTTCTCTCTTCTTCTCGTTTGTCTTGTTTGCGTGCCATTCTCTTGAGCCCCAGACCCTCAAACCCTAAACTCTTCCATCCTAAACCGCAACACAACCCCTACAGCCAGGGCCTGAAATTGCTCGGCCCCCTTCCTGAACTCTTGTCACTGAGTGGTGGCTTCAGACACAAATCTTGAACATGATCTAGTCAACAAGAATCCTCAAGGTGTTTAAAAAGACACGTCAACATACACCCTAAAACCCTCAACATGTAAATTCCGAACCCAAAGAATCCCACAAACTAAGTACACAACCCCTGAGAGCTCACAGAGACTCCTTCATCAAGCAGGGAAGACTGGAGAGCCGACTGTATCGCGGGTGCCCCGACTGAACCTGCTGAGAATCGTCTTAGGCATCCGTTGGATTTCGGTTCATACATGTGTTTGTATATTTCTCCATAGTTATATCTAACTAACTTTCAGAGCCCTAAACGCACACCGTCTGGCGAGCGGCTGGCAGGTGTGCAGTTGGCAGGGTTTCGTCCTAAAGACATCGAGGTTTTGGGGCCCTCAAAAGTTTGTATAGAGAGAGAGAGAGAGAGAGAGAGAGAGAGACGCTTTCTGTATACAAACATATCTATATATATATATATGTGTGTGTATATATATATATGACCAAACAAACCGAACACACACACACACAGACACCCGCGGGCGCGGACACACACACACACACACACACACATGAGCATAGACACACCTATAACTGCCGATAACTGTACCGGGTTTCACCCAAAGAAACTTATTCAACAAAGAGAAGCGCAGGTTTTTCTGATACACCTCTTTTTTGGTAACTATTCACGCACACATATATACAAACGTACAGACAGAAACATGTAATGAGTACTTATGTACGTGTGTGTGTGTATGTTTAGCTATGGGTATAGGTATAGGTTTTGGTATAAGATGGTCAAAATATAAAAGTATACTCTCGAACCCAGAAACCACCCTTTTTGCTGCAGGCTACCCTGAAACCACCCTAAACCACCAAAAATCCGGTTGGGAAAGCCCTCTTCCGGCCCCGGAAGCCTGCGTCTTCAAAACGTCCAGCGGGTAGGCCACGAACGCGGCCCCAGCTCGAAGCACCGCACCCTCTGCAGCCTGACGGCAGCAAGGCTTTGGGGCGTTTGAGGGTACTTGGGGGTTATAAGTAGGGTTAAGTCCCCTAATATGAGCTATAAGTATAGTTACCCACAACTACCCATGAACCTCCAAGTCGAGGGTTTAGGGCTTTTTGACGCTAACTACCCCACACACTCCATAGTGCATAGTTAAGACACTGATGAGACGATGCTGAGCATGGGATTGCAAGCCCAACAGACGCCGTCACCTCAACATACAATCGTAAGCCAGAAACAGCTAACAACAACACTCAAATGCTGACATGACTGCAGACCCACTGGACGTCAAAAGACCTAACACCCACAAAGGATAAAGAGAACCCAGACCCTAGTTCCAACGTCGCAGCAGGTCATGTGAAACCCTTGTGATGACGGGGGCTTTCGATCCATCCTCACACTCGCCATCTCGCGCAGCAGGTTTAAGGATTCGGGTTTAGAGCTTTGGGAAATGCAGCAAAAGGCAGGGAAAGGTGCAGGGCTTTCAAAGGGTGAGTGTTTGGTGTCGCCGGCTCAGAGTTTAAAGGGCTTCACTTTACGGCTTTGGTCTTTGGGCTTTCACCGGCTGTAACGATTTCAATAGGGTTCTCGGCTACAGTGAAGCATAAGTAGCCAATACTACTTGTACCGGGTAAATGCCGGCGTGCTCTGCTTACACTGGCTGGGTCCAAGTGGAAATCACTGGGAACCTGTATAACAACCTGAATGCCCTGGTGAATGGAGTTCATATATATGGGGGGTTACTATATGGGGGGTTACTACCAGTACCATCCGACCTGCATGCTCCAAAGTTCGCAAACCCGGAACCTGTCCTAGTTCCCCATGAATGCTGACACTGCACAGCTGAGCCCTAAACCAAAGCTGAAAAGCGCTAAATCCCCGAACCCCCAGCCCCCAACCATTGAACCTCCTGAAACCCGTCTAAACCGCTACAGAGCTCTGCAAAGCCCTCCAAAGGCCCCAAAAGAGGAACCCAGTTGGCTTCCTGCTGCTGAACCAGTGGGTCGGCCATAGACACGGAAGCCGTTTCAAGGGCTTGGGAGCACGTGGCCCAAAGGCCGGGGCGAGGGCTCAAAGCCATGGCTCACAATCCCTGGCGCCCCCCGCGGGACCCAAGCTGTGGAGCTCTTCTACGCTTCGCGAGTTGTGCGTGGAGCCTTTGGGGGTTTTGGGGTTTCGACCGGGCGTCTGAGTGCTTAGGGCTTGATTGGGGGGGGGGGGGGGAAGATTAGAGGAGGCAAAAGAGGCATTGGGGCTTTTCCAGCTTCCTGGAGAGTTGAAGGGCTGAAGGCCTTTGTGGGTGCTACGCTCTCACGAAGGGGTTGACGGTTCAGAGTGCAGTTTAGGCTCATTGATATGTATGCTTCTGTACACTTGTTATACATGACATCTGCGGCCGTATATACGGTGTGCAGAAGTATGTGCAAGCACAGCACGCTCTTCAGGATAGGCGTTTGATGGCTTCTGCGGCTTCTCGAAGGTTAACGAGATCCTAGGGCGATAAAAACAATCGAGACTTTATCTAGCTTGCATCACTGCGTCATGGATGCATTTGAGCCAACGCTTCAAGCAGGCACAGTCAATCCAAGGCGATGCTGACCAATCGAAAAACAGATAAGACGTCCGGATTTAGATGCTCTGGTAACAAGCATACAGAAACCCTCGGCCAAAGGTACGGGAATCCATATATATCTATATATATATATACATACAGACAGACGAATGTACCTACATATATACATTACACAGGTGCTATATATATATATATATGTATAGTTATGTGCACGTGTATGTATGTGTCACATACAAATGTATGTATCGCAATCAACTCCATGAGCCGTGCGGCTGCCAGGATGATCACAGGCCGTCGGCCGAAGCGGTCGGCAGCTCGACCCACGATCGGGTTGCAGAGGAGGTTCCTTTTTGGGGTTGTTTCGGTTTCGACTCTGACTCTCGCAGGCAGCTTGTTTCGGTTTCGACTCGCACACTCCCTCAACGCAGGCGCGGGTTCATGGGGCTTGTTTGGGTTTAGGGTTTAAGGGTTTAGGGTTCAGGGGCTTCGTCTCTCACTTAGGGGCTCAGAGTTTAGGGGCTTGGAATTGTTTGGGTTTAGGCTGTTGGGAGGGCTTAAGGTTTGGAGTTTAGGGTTGGTTGTGTTGGGGCTACTTATTGCCTCGGTGCAGAATCACCCATATACTCCGGGGTGGGTGCTTCGGCAGGCTACAGCTATGTGCCACTATCGGGCCTTGGGGAGCTGTGACCTGAAGAAAAACGAACGGAAGGGAAATGTTTTCTTGCGTTGCCGAAGTGGCAGAATTGAAGCAGCCATCTGGACCCTCGGTGCTCAAGCAGTGTGATGGGCTCGCTTGGAACCATGCACACACATACGCACACATGTAGGCTTCTGGCGTAACACCCGTCGAGGTGACCGCAGCGATGGCATCGTCGCAGGCTTTTGATCCCTTTCCTGTTTGCGTGGCCGATTTATCTCGGAAAGGGACGTCTGATGCACAACGGCTGCATGGCCGAAACACATACCCCCTGCAGGCACTCGCCACCTGCACCTGCACAGGCATCATATCCAGCGTAGCCGATGACAGCCAAATCCTGACAAGCATGTGTTCTCATAAGTTCGATATTGGGAAATACCTGTACCGCGAGTCTACAGCTCTCGGGCAAAACTGTTGCAAACGACTCTGTGAAGTTGCTGCCTTCTTGAAAATTGAGAAAAAGCAGCAGCTGCACCGGAGAAGTCGCAGCAGCCATGGTCGTAGTAGCAGCACAAAAGAAGTGGTAGCGGTAGTAGCGGTAGCAGAAAGTGTATTTGCAGCAGTTGCAGTAACACAGTTGCAGCAGCTTGGGGGCAGCCACAGCCACAGCCGCAACTGCAGCCGCAGTGGCAGAAGTAGCAGTAACACTACAGTGTTTCCCAACCCCTACAATAGATTCCACTTCCAGGCTTATGTGTTAGGTACTTAGTGTCCAAGCCCTACGATCCTCAACCGTCAACCGTATAAGAATATTCGTTTCTGAAGTTTGGCTACTTCTGACAGGACCCGATTGAATTCGCTTGTTCATGGAGCAGTAGCAGTGGGAAAAATAGAAGCCGTGGTCGTCGTCGTCGTAGTAGTAGTACTCAGTACTAGTAGTAGTTTTTCGTCACCCACCTGGCACACCAATGACAGCTCCGCGGGGGTCTCAAGAGTTGACAAGTCACAACGAAACGTAGCAGTAGTAGTAGTAGTGGTGGTGGTGGTGGTGGTGGTGGTGGTGGTGGTGGTGGTGGTAGTAGTAGTAGTAGTAGTAGTAGTAGTAGTAGTACTAGTAGTAGTAGTAGTACTAGTAGTAGTAGTAGTAGTAGTAGTAGTAGTAGTTGTAGTTGTAGTTGTTGTTTTTGTTGTTGTTGCTGTTGTTTTGCAGGAAGCAAGAGTAGTATGAGTAGTAGCACGTGTAACAGCAGGAGGAGCAGCAGTAGGATCAGCAGTAAGCAGACAGGAGATGACAGGGGCGCAAGTACCGTTCTGCGTTTCAATGGCCGGACTATGACACTGCTCAGGCAAGTTCTCGCGGGATGCTTGAACATGCCATCGCCGGCAGCTAGATTTGATTGTCTTCATCCTGATGCCACTCGATTGAAGGAAACGAAACCACTTGTTCGGTTGCGTAGGCAAGCCTCCAAACTTCGGGCCTGACGCAACACATGCCATCCAAGTTGCTGGCAGCACTAGTCCTGTCAGGGTCGAGCAGTTGCCAGTTGCATGCGCAACAAGCCGTTGTATCCCTACTGCGGCATGAATCTTATCTTACGCTTGGCTGAAGCATTAGCGTTAAGTCCGCTGGAAGTTTCAACTCTGTGCACAGCGCTCACAGCTCCCCACAACACCGAAGGTAGCCTCCGAAGCCTTCGCCGACGCCGTCAAAGAACAACAGCACCACAGCAGCAGCCCATGCTGCCGCCTTGCCACCTGCAGCCGACAGAGGAAGGCTGCAAGCCAAAACTCAGCTTCCAGCACCAGCCAGCAATGCCAGCAGGCGATCATGCCAAATGGGAGTTTCCGAAAACATGGGACCCTAATAATAGCACCCTAAAGAATAGGATCCTTAATATAAGGACCCCAAAATAAGGGATCCCTAATTTTCGGAAACTCTCAAATCCCTGCAGAGTAGCCTTGTCGAGCAGGCACCGGTCGTTGCACCTCTCGGGGTACAACATACTGAGGAGGGGCAGAACTCCATACTCACATACTCTGACAGCCTCCATGGATCAAACAACGCTGCATCCATGCAGCGTCGCCAAATACAATAGCACAAGAGTGTCGGCTGGCAGACTGGACGAACATGTATGGATGAGCTCATTACGTCTATGTCTATGTGGGTAAACTAGGAATCGGAATCGGCTTAGAGAGCAAAAAGCGGCATGAGTCAAAGCAGCGTCGCGACGTAGTCAGGTCAGATGCATCTCAGGTTGAACTTGCATTACTAAAACTTAGCTAGCCTGGTCTAAACTGGCGAGAAGACGCTGAAGCCGAAACGTCCAGAGAACAGCAGATTCAGATATTGCAGGTCGGAGCTGCGCTGGGCAGCTTCAACTGGGTCGGCCATAACCCTGCGTGCCAATTTGGGGTTTCCAAAAAATCAGGGACCCGAATATAGCACCCGAAATAGCAGTATCCTTGTTACGGGGCAACAAAATCAGGTACCCCCCATGTTCGGAAACTCCCATTTTTGCTTTGGCGTGGCTTAGCCGACCAGGACTGCGATTGGAGGCTCCGATTGGAAAAGAATTCGACATGAGCTGCAGCTTGCCTAGAAGGGATACAAAGATCATTGAAACCCAGAACTGGGCAAAACTGCAAAAGAAACCTCCCGGATCCTGCAGAGTGCAGACAACTGCTTCGCTCAAAGCTCCAAATAAGCCTCTTCGGCAGGAGTGGCTGGGTCTGTCTCCTCGGCGGGAGAGGTGGAAACGGGCGACATGGGGCTGAGGGGCGACAGGACGTCGTCGCCGAGGCCCTGGAGTCCCTCGCCGGAGCTGGCCATGGGAGAAGCAGAAAGATAGCCTGCAAAGGGACATAGGCTCAAACACACAGACAGACACAGACAGACAGACACACACACGCTTACTTAGGAATCACCCTATTGGGGAAGGCAGATCGACACACACGGAAAGCACTGAAATCTTAAGAGCTCAGGCACGTCCCGTGCGATCATGCGGAGCCCCGGCTGCCACGAAGGGGCCCAAGGAGCACAGACACATGAAAGTATGAAGATACAGGCACGTTTACAGCACAACACCATCAGGCTCTTCGTTGGCTGCCCCTTGACACGTGGAGCAGCCCCTTGCAATCTTCAACAATTTCAATCACGTGCAGCTTCACTGAAAGCCATGAATCAACAGGGCTTTGTGCGCGCACACACTCACACACAACGCTCAGGCTTCTTTCCACACAGAAAGGAGGAAGGTGCGCACTGGTCGGTAGAGGTGACTCTATTGCGAGCTGCTATTTCGGTGAAGCCGGAGAGCTCGAGCACTCACAACGCTCAGGCGCTCTGTCTCTCTGTCTCTGTCTCTCTCTCTCTCTCTCTCTCTCTCTTCGTTTCATGCTCCAGGCTTGTGCCTGCCAGCTCTCTGGAGGAGGTGGTGTGCATCGAGCGTAAATTATGGCGGCTGTGCGTGAGGCGCTCGGCGATGATCTTGGCCTGGAGGTCGAGCTGCCGGGCGTTGGAGCTCCTGTCGGGGCTCTGGGGCTTTCGGAGCCTTTAGGATGCTTTAGGGCTTAAGGCAAAGAAGCCCCCCCGTTGCTCCTGGGTGTGAAGGGCACAGAGATTTCGTGGAAGGCGGCCTCTAGCATGTAACTGTAGCGCTCCATATCCACGCCATCGATGTCGTAGCTCAGCTTGGATTCGTGGAAAGTTGGGATCTGAAAAGAATCCTCCGCAAGCACCGGAAGGATCCAGCTGGACTCCAGGTTCAACTGCACGAGACACGAGGCCACCTGGGAGCTTCCGAAGATAGGGGACCCTAATATTAGTGCCCTAAACAGTAGGATGCCTCTTGTAAGGACCCTTAAGGACCCCCAAAACAAGGTACCACCAAAGTTTCGGAAACTCCCACCTGCTTCACCTCCAAACACCCTGCCGTGCAAAGGAACAGCACCTGACTGTCCGCCGACCCAAAGATTTCATCCTCTCCCACCAAGATCCGGAGCGTCGTCTTCATGGAAAGCTCCATCATCTTCACCCCCAGCAATGCGTAGAGCACATGGGCGGCTGCCATAGCCTCCACCCCAACAAGCAAGCATCCTAAAGCCCTTTGCGATGCCTCCGGCTCCCCAAAAGGTCCCTGCGAGCTGGCCTCCATGTTCGTGGTGTCGCAAAGGATCAAACCTGGGCCCAGAGCACTGAGACAAGTTTCATGAAGCTTCGGAAGCCCTCGAGCTGCGATCCTAACTGACAGGGAGGGAGGTTCAACTCTGATAAATCCAGAAGCACTCGGACATGTTCGACACCACCCGTGTCACAGAGAAATCTGCGGAGGGATTCTTGGTCAACGCCAGCCGGGTGGGGCTGTGTCCACGGACTCCCGTCAGCCATGACACCACCTTCACTGAGCTGTTTTTGGTCCCTTTTTGCCACTAGTCTCCAGTATTGCCTTAGACCCTGCACCCTTTTTTGCATCCAGGCCTCTTGAAGTCCCGCTAAACCCTACACCCTAAACCCTACACCCTAAACCCCCAAACCCAAAACCCTACACCCAAAGTCCCGGAATCCTTCAAACAGCTCTGAGAGCTGGTCGTGTCTTGCGCGAAACAGGAAGCCAACCCCGTGTTTCTTGCCGACCGACCTCCCTTTTTTTAGGGACTATACTGAACTTAGAACCCTAGCAAAAAGTATAATTTTAGCTGTTTCTTAGGGATTATAATAACCAAAAATTAAAAATATTTTTAAGTACCCCCAAGGGGAGTCTTTCTATGGAGGTCCTCAAATTGAAGAACGAACATCCGGCCCCCCCACCTCGGGAATGGGATCGTTGCCCAACCATTGGAAATCAAATTTCTCCAGTGCCCCAAGCCAGAGCAACGTCTCGTGAATCTCCGCCATGCCGATGCCATAAACTGCAAGCTCCTGCAGTTCATAGCTAGAGCGGGCTTGGTGACTCCCTGGGAGGGTATTTTATCGCCCGATTCTTCTGGTGGTATTGCTTCATGTATTACTTCATTCTCGCGGTGCTCATCTACTGTGCGTCGCTTTTGAAACTCTTTTCTGTGCCAGTGTTTCGTGCAGTTCGGGCATCTGAGTTCAGAAGCCCCAAAAAGTGTACGCTTTCAGTTTTATAGTGGGTAATATCACCCCAAAAAGGTGTAAAGCCTATCCACTCAGCTACGAATTTAAACCTCAACCTCTGAGCTTTGGGCTGCGGTCCTTGATCTTCGGGGCAAGACTGGTGTACGATGCGACGAAACGCTCGTCGGGCATCGTGAAATCCGGCAGAGCAACCAGCATTGTCTTCCTGAAGCCAGGGGCAGGAGCCGAAGCTAATCCCGGCCGATTCTTCTACGAAAGGTAGAAGTAGTTTTTACTTCCAGTGCTCGAAAAAAAGAGGCTGCTTTTGGGCCAAAGGTTCACACCGTGAAGCCGCGCAGTTACGAGCTCGCCGACACACCATTTTCTGGTCAGAAAATCCCCAGAAGCCAATACTGCAAGTGTCTCCACATCTTGGCTCACGTACGAAAAAAGCCTCGTCAGATCCGTAAGGTCATCGCAATCAATGAAGCAGCGGAAGCCACACTTGCTGAGCTCTATCTTGAAGAGCCGCGCTAAGCTGCCTGCAGCACTTTTCTGATGGCTGATGAAGAAGTGAAACTGCTTGCGATATGTCGACCGGCACTTCTGGAAAACAGCTTGGGCCACCATCAAGAGGATCACCAATAGCACGAGCAGGCTTACCAGCATGCAAGCGACCATGACGAAAGAAGTGTCCTCTTGCGGCATGAAGAGCATGCCCATATCCAGGATCACCATGAAGCCGACATGAATGACCAGTTCCAGGTAAAGAGTTGCAGTCGTTCGAAGCGGCTTGAAAAATGCGATCGCGCAAAAACTGATGTAAAGCACGAACTTGATGAAGAAGAGGCTGGAAAATGATGAGGGCAGGAGCGGTGAAACGACGATTACTGCATTCCGAACAAGAAAGAACAACGCAAAAGCCTCCGACCCAGGCCGAAAGCGTGCCCACAGAAAGGAGCAACTACGTAGAAACTCCGCATCGAAGGCTTCCAGTCTCTTTGGCAGCTCCATGTAGACCAGCCAGAAGACGAAGACAAGGAAGGAAAGCAAACCTTGGTTCTTGTTTAAGTTACCATAAAAAGGGAATCGTATCATATATTATTTACTATAGATCCTACTACGGTAACTTGCACTAAATTCCTTAACCAGAACCCAGAAACAGAGGCTCACCACCCCACCCATGAGACACATACGCAGGTGGCTCCCGGTAAAGTTGCACTCCACAGACTCGTAGACCTCAAGAGCAACAGCCGAACGGCTCTGAGCTGGTTTAGGGTTTCGACGCTCACACTCGCACAAGGCAGGCAAGGCTCCAAAAGTTCAGGGTTTAGGGTTTGAGGATGTTTAAGGTTTAGGGTTTGGGGTTTAGAGTTTAGAGTTTAGGGTTTAGGGTTGGTATCAGCCAAAGCTAGCCCAGACACGAGCACAAACAAGGAAGTTGATAGCATGACAGGTCATGACAGATACATACAACCCACACGGCTGGCTGGAGATTCAACCTTAGTGAAGTCTTGCACGCATGTAAAGTCTACACGGGGCGGGGTAAGCAGCCACTAACATGTAGTTGCCCTGGACCAGCATCGGCCAAAGTAGCATGGCGTGGCATTGCACAACATGGCATACTGCTGATACACAATGTAGCACTACCTGAGAAATGCATGTGTGAGTACATACCTGCATGCATGCACACGTAAACTTTTTTACAAAGCTACGAAGTGTCACACACACATGTGCAAACAGCGGAAAAGCTCCCTTTCTTCCGCACCGGAGCCTGCATCGTCCGCGCATCGCTCGGGTGCACGTCGCAGCGGAAGGGCGCGAGGAGCGAGGAAAGAGCCGGGATGAAGAAAAGCACGGACAAGCTCCCCAAGGTCTTCCGAAGCAGGTGGAACTGCTGCGTCTGGCCTCCGGAAGTTCGGGTGGTCTTTTTGGGCTATCTCTTCACGGATGCCCTGAACCTTCGTAGCACTTCCAAACCTGGCCTTGCCGCCAGCAGCGGACGTACACTACATGCGTTATCGTCGGAACCAGCAGGAAGATGCTGGGGAAGAGGAGGGACTGACTCAAGAAGCGGAGCTCGGGTGTGAAGTTGACCATGCAATTCACCGAGTTGACGATGCGCCACAGGAAATCCTGCTCATCGGTGCTAAGTTCCACATGACTACCAGCTTGCCCCGATGGTTTGGCTGCTCGCTGTGTAACCTGAAGTGTCCGGGCTTAGGGCTTCTCGGCAGCGTCCGGATCGCGTGCCCTTGTTTCGCTGATGTCCCGTGGGCCCTGATCAGTCTATATATATATATATATATATATATATATATGTTTTTTGTATATCTCGCTTCGCTTCGCCCCCCCCCATAAGTGGACAGTGAAGCTCGCGGAAACAGTTCAAGCCAAGCGCATTCGTGAAGAACCCCTCCAAAAGCTGAATTGCGGACAACAGGTTAGTTATGTCGATTTGCCAAGGTTGAACTTCAGGTTTCTACAAGGGCACGACGGTGCTAAAAGCTCGCCATATCAACTTTTGCTATAGCAGAAGATATCATATTATACCATCTTATATCATATTATACTGAATCTATGTCAGCTCTATGTCTATATCTTTATTATTCTTTATTTTTATTTAGATCCATGATGTGATTTCTTAAGGTCCAGCGAGACGAACTGCAGGGACTCCAGGAGCCGGATGAATGGCTCCTCAGTGGCGCTGGAGTTTTGGCTCGGGCTCTCACCGGGAGACGCGGGGGGCGAAGTGTCTGAGCACCAGGGGTGCATTTTTTGGTCATTATGAGGATCTTTGTATGAATAGTATACCATGCAAATATTTCTGCGCTTGTTTAATCGACGATTTCCGACGTCACGACTTCACCGCAGGGTCTGGCCCGCTGCCTCTCCCTACAGTTCCACAGGCTTGGGGTGTAGGGTTCAGGGACCTTGGGGGTTTGGGACTCGTCTTGGTTTGGATCTGCTCCGGCATTAGAGGGTTGGGCATTCAAGGCTGCGGCCAAGATTTACCACCCGTCTTTCATTTGGGGATAGCGCTTGCCATGTGTGTGTGTCGGTGCGAGCCCAACGAAATCGTACAGGTCTAAGCTAGCCAGCAGACAGCCAGCAGCAGATAGGCTTGAATCAAATCATCTCAACGGACATGGACATCCTCGGGTGTAACCCTAGGCTCGCAAATCAAGGTGACTGTGTGGAAGGCATCTGGCTTCCTTTGTTCGGGGCGTAGCGGTAGCGTGAGCTCAAGTGCTCAAGCCCAAGCTCCAAAAGCAAAACGGATTTCTTCGATTTGACCGAGATGCTCCCCACTGGATACCCTGCTGCATGATGACGAGAACTTGAGCGCTGGTCACCATTTGGCTCAAGCCAAAGGTGACCTGAAAACAAAAAGCTACGAGGATTTTGTTTCCTTTCACGCAGCCAGACGAGGCTTAGGCTGTAGGGTTCAGGGCTTGGGTTGAAGCGAAGACTTCCAAGGCAAGATCTAGGGCTGCTAGACTCCTAGACTGTATCATCTGCCGAGGAGGTTGGGGCTGCACCTGAAACACTGCGTCTCGCAAGACAAAGCGTACAACCTTTCGACTCAAACCTAGGCCCCTGAAGTGGTGTCTGCCATGCTAACTGGCTAAACACTCACTGGAGTCCGGCCTCCATGAGGCTGTGGCCAACAGGGGCGACCTGCATGGCCAGCGTGAAGGCGTGCACTGCCGAGGGCACGAGGAAGAGGAGGCTGGCCAGCACGGCGAGGATTAGCCAGTCAACGTCATCGCACGTTACGCAGCTACCGTCGTAGTTGTCATGCAAGCCTGGCAGGCACTGGGCGCAGGCCAGGCTCTGGTTGTCACGGCCCGGGGCACAGCTGCCGGGAAGTCCACCCGGGCAGCGCCGCGAGCTGCCGAAGCAGCGGAAGACGGTAGCGGGATCCTCTGGAAAAGCGAAGAAGCCCGGGTCGAGCGTAAGCTTCGTGGGTCCAAGACAAGTCGCGCCCTCCAGGCACAACTCGCACTGGCCTTGCCAGAAGTGGCGGCCTTCTACGCATGAACAAACATCTTTTGAGACGGCCCCCCGTACTTCGATCCACCGACGAGCACCGCCACCGTTGCTGCCCTGATCCACATCGCTCACCGCCGCTAACTCCTTCGTGGTCCAGGTTTCGTCTCCGCAGCTCTTGCACGCCGTGCTTCCCTCCTGGTCTGCAAAAGTGCCCACATCACAGAGGCCACACTCTGTGGCACCCGCCCCATCTGCTGCGTGGCCCAGGGCACAGTCATCGCACAAGGACTTGCCAGGGAGGGCTTGGAAGGAGCCTGGTGGGCAGGCAGCGCAAACATATGAGCCATCCGAGATTCCGGAGCTGTTCGTCCAGTCGGAGAAGTGGCCGGATGGGCAGGGCTTGCAGCTGACAGCCGATTCAATTGAGCTCACAAAGTCCCCCTGGTAATTCACCAAACCGAAGCCAAAATCGCAATCAGTCCTTCTGGGCACCCAGCCTTCCCAAGTCAATCCGTTCTCCTTGACCCACTTGCACGCTATCTCCCTCATGGCCTCTTCTTCCGACTCCTCCAAAGCATTGCCAACCTCATCCAGCAAGACCTGCAGC